CAGAGTTTGTCCAAGAGGCTATGGAATTGCTCCAGTGAATTACTAAATATTTTATGAATGACCAGTTAATATTAAAAACCTACTTATTTCTTGAATTGCAGCTCTCTGTATGTTTACCCAGATGTGTACCAGGCTACAGTCATATTTATTCCTGGTCTCTCTGTGATGCAATGTAGATTTTATTGTTTATATAACAGAAAAGCTAAACTTCAAGGGCAGGGGCCAATTCATTCCCCTCCCATGCCTCTCCCCCCACACAGGCCAGTGATGGGGGCACTACCCCCACCATGTGATCTAGAACCCTCATGTACCACAGACACAACCCATGTCTGGCACTCTCACCAGTAAGTTACCACATTTTTAGATACCACTAAGGTAAAGCAAGTTTTGCTTGCTGCCTCCTCACAGAAAGAGAGGACAATCAGTAGCTCTGGAAAGGGTTCAGGACAGAAGATCCAGAGCAGGAAGAGAGCCAGGGTTGGAAGAGCCTCTGTGCTTTGGATGAGCTTTAGTGGCTTCCTGATCTGCAGATTCTTGGCAATGCTGATCTGGGGGCCTGGCTCTCCCCAAGCTTTGATCAAGGAAGGCTCACAACTAGAAATGTTTCTTCTCCTACAGCGAGCAGAAACCGCAAAGTAAAGCCCTGGCCTGGCTTTCTATTTTCAGTACAGTACCCATTACCCATAACAGCCACCAAGTTAGGCTGGCTGGCTGGCTTTAAAAAAAGTAATTTCAGCCAACCAGCCAGGGGAATGAGAAAGCATGTGACTACAGAAATAAGGGAAGGTATTTTTATCTTGCAGTATCTTAATCCCATGACTAGTAATTTCCTTCTGTGGAGTAGTGATGAGAACAGACAAGTAACTGAGGTGAGACAGGGCTTCAACAATTCTTATTCTCTTGAATTTTCTTGTATAAAAGTTGAGTAGTGAGTGAAGAAATATAACTGTAATTCAGAGCAATACAACCTCTCAGTCACAGAAACTAATGCAAAGAATCAGCTAAAGATGAGGGAGGGTGCTGCTTCTAGCCCTATATGTTCAATAGGCACTGCAAAAAGTAACATCCCAACGTGTGTTTTTGTAGGCATCCATGTGGTCTATGATCTTTCCAGAGCCCCAGGAAGCAGAGTTGTTAGCTTAGAAGTGCTTTGCACAGCCTGCCGAGTCCCATCCTACATCCCACTCCACATGGATGAAATATACAATGTGACTCTTCCATCCTATATGTTATTTGGAGGAGATGGCTATCATATGCTGAAAGACAAAAATATGGGATACAGCAAAGGTAAGTGGGATGCAGTAAAGGTCAGTATGGGCACTAATAGAGTAGCAGACAAACAATTCCCAAAAGTTAAAAGATCTTTCTATAGTATTAGTCTCAGACTTCTTGCCTTTACTGGATTAAATTTGCTTCTAATCTGACAGCTCTGGTTTTGGTTGTAGCCAGCAACTTTTTTAACTTTTTCAGTTAAATCACAAGTTTCAAAGTGAAGCCAAGCCTTACCAATACAGCAGTGCTCAAAGAGCACTTCAAAGATCACGATAAACCACAAAAGAAGCAAAAAATGCACCATGGAGAATACATCTTATTGCGTACTGCCTCGTACTGCCTGTGCACTTGTACTCATTACTGAACAATGAATCAAAGAGAAAGGTTCTTTAGACCTTGAATTTCCACTGTATACAAGTATTTGGAAAGACAGAATCATCACCTCTACTGCTGAAGGACACGCAGCTCAGGCAAGCAACACAGGGTGAGGGCAAAGAGGACAACCTACTCTGCAGGAATTAGCCTGCCCATCCAGAATCAGTGGGATTCTCGGGAGTCCTGCAGGCAGCAGTATGCAAGGTGCTACAGACGCCATGCCAGAGAGGCAAAAAGGAAGTGTTTTATAATGCTGTGTTAAGGTCCCCTAAAGTTGCATGTGAAGTGTTAGAAATTCAGCATTTGTACAACCGACATGTCCATCTTCAACAAAGACAAACTAAAATGTTGAGATTACAAGAATGTAATGCTGTGTTAAAAAAAACCAACAAAACCAATGTTCTAAGATCACACCTACATTTTGCCAAACTTTAATTTTGTATGTCCTGCTTCTGGATGATAAAAACACAGTTTTACTCCAAAAAATCTTCCTTTTGGACCTTTGTTGTAGACTAGTTTTTTATTTCTGCAGGTATTTCAATTTAAAATTGATTCACACAGGTAGGACTGGTATTTTAAATCAAGTTCAGCCAGCAGCTTGTAAATTTGGAGAGGCTGTAGTTTTCAGTAAATATCCATGTATGCAGAAATAAATACCCAGAGAGATAAATCGTTAGGAATAATGAAAGGGAACAACTTGTAAGGTTCTTGTAGAGTCTTTCAGTATAGCAAGAGGGTAAAACTGTAACTATTGTTAAGACTGAGGACTACACTTTAGGATTGTAAGAGCTTGGATCAGATGGGGCTTGTGACACTGCTGGCAGCAGTTACTGAAGAGGGTCTTCCACTGCAGAAACTCCACGTTATACTTTGTGTGCACACAGCAGTGCACAGACTAGAAATTCCTCCAAAAAAAGTAAAGTTAAATTTGAGAAGGTATAAGTGATAGCTTTGCCAAGTCTACAGCCCTCTACCCAAACAGGTAGGGCATTATCTCCATCTACCTAAAACTGACTGGAAATTAGCATTGTAACAGATACAAAACAAAACAAGACAGACAATGCAATGAGAAGTTTTTTGGTTTTTTTGTATTTTGTAAAATACAAGTTGCTACCAAAAATTCTGGCTACAAACCACCACAGATGATTTTCTGTGCATAAGAAACAACTCCCCACACCCCTACGCTGTCTCAATGTGTACTGATTAAGCACTGCAAGCCATAGAAAACAGTTTAAAACTTGAGCTAAAACTGCAATTTTAGACAGGTTCTTAAAGAACTCTTAAGAGCTTGGCTGCTGCAGAAAACACTTTTTTATATGTTTGTTTGTTTAGGTGAACCTGATATTGAGGTTGTTTCCCGCTACCTACAGAGAATGGAGAGAGTTTACCCAGCAGTTGAAGGTCGAATAAAGTTTTCTTCTGGAAGTCTTCACAAAGCAAGTCTTACCCTGATCTCTGCATTGTTCACTGCAACATTCTTGCACACTTGATTATTGCTCTCTGTGTTTTTGTTTGGAGGAAGAAAGGAGGAGAAATGATGCTGATGCATCAAAAAGAGAACTGTTCTCTTTCCTCTTTTCTTACACCTTACAATGAATGAGCAGTGAGGTTGCTGCATGTTAGCAGTAAGCAGCCCAATCCATTGTCTTTTATCTGGTAGTGCATCAAAGCACTCTGTGCAGAGTGAGGGGGCAGAATTCATGACTTTTCTTGGTTTGAATCAGCAGGTACCTGCAATTTGGTTTGAGGTTTTAAGAAGCAAAGTGCCAGTGAATACCTACTGCTCAATCATAAAGCAATGACAAATTGTAATGGGGTATTTTTAAATTGTCAAATTCTTTTAGATGCCTTAGATAGTGAGTTAAGAACCTGATTCCAGTAATGCAAACAAACTTCTAGAAATGGATTTATTATAGGTGTATATTCCTTTTGTTGATCTCCACTCAGGGTTGAAGTATTCAAACCTAATATTTCTACTTTGCTTCCAGTCATATTTATCATACCTACACCAATATCTGAAAGAGCTGGATTAAAGTCAGTGCCATTAAAATCATGGGGCCCATTTAACATGCAATTTTATAAAGTTTGTTTTACTTTTGAAGATGCAGCATCTCACTTATGTTTTCCATTAATAAAGGATGCAATGAAAGCTTGATTTTGATAAATTTTAACAAATTGAGTATTCTTCATTCTTTATATGACCAGTTTGGGGACTGTGTCTAGAGCAAGAACACAATCTATGACTGTGTTTCATATAAATATGCTAGATTTTTTACCTTTTCCAAAGAACAAAGCACAGGACTCCTGCCTCTTACTCTGTATCAGCAACATTCCCAGGGAATGTCAGATAGAGGCACTGACTCCTGCAGCACTGTGGGATCCTTTGGAAATAGCCAGGTAATGGCGCTTTTTACAGCATAACCTATCTTTATGATAACTGTGGTTATACCTCAAAAGCCCATCTTTTCTATGGGAAGGCTGTGTTTAAAAAAATACAGTTGTAAATACAGGCTAATGAGTATGAAATCAAAAATCAGACTAAATGCTAAGTGTACACTTCTGATGCTTTATCAAAAAGTGATTGATTATAAATGAATGCAAACAACCATTATTTTTCTAAGTTCATTCACACTGGGATTTTTGCCATCAATGTGTTTTCATGATGTTCAATGCGATTTTAAACTGATTATCAGTGTTTTAAATAAACCCGCTTTGTTTTTCTGGAAAGCTCACTACACTCTTTTTCAACTCTGAAGCTACTTGGCTCTTAAATTCACTGCACCTGCAGATTTCAAGGAGAAGGTGCGCTAAGATAAACACTCAGTATATTTAAATTTCAAGATCTCATTCATTTCCACATATATTGAGAGGTTGTGCATGAAAAGCTCTGGACTACACAGCTGCAACACGACAACAAACGATGACTGACCTTTACACACTACTTCTTATGCCCTGGCATTGATGGTTTGCCAATACCAGCCCTTAAGAGTAGTTAATTTACAGAATGGTCTTACTCAAATCAACATAAAACCAGTAACAGAGAGGGCACTTATGGACCAAACTGTACCTGCACACCAATTTTTAGAGTTGTAACAACTCCTTTGGCATAGCCAGAGAGAAGAGAAATAACAATTTTACCTTCCTTTGACAAAGAGAAGGAAAAGGTTTGCAGTAGTAATATAGACAGACAGCACAAACTGTATTGACAAAGAACACCAATGCTGCATTAGATTGGTTGGTTTGTAGTGAAGGAGAAAATGGGTATTGTCTGAAAGTAAAAACTGAGGAATGCCTATTAAAGTATCGCTGTATTGTTCTGTGAGTAAAACTTGTTAAAAATCCACACATGAAAGTCCATTTCAAAGTCTCTTTTATAAAGGCTGGGCCAACAAATTAAGATTTACAGCAAAAATCTTCCACCCAATTTTATAGGAATAAATTTTTAAAAAAAGCTGTGAACAGACTTGCATCCTGGGATGCCAGATGTCAGGTAATCCCAGGTAAGAAACTGCAGAAAAATAAAGGCTAAGGTAAAAGTCAAAACCACTTTTCACACCCATTATTACTTTAAGAATGCTTTAGATTTAAAGGTCATGTATTAAATAGACTAAATTACATGTTATTTTCCATGCTCACAGAGAGCATAAAGGCCAAAGATAGTTCTGAGATTATTTGTATGCAACAGATTCAATCCCATAATTTCGGTTTTCTAAAAAATAGTAAGATTTGTTAAGACAGTTAAAAATAACATAATGAGAGCATTCTACAGCTTCTTCCAAACATTTTTTCTACATATCCTTTAAGGAAGACATCCAGTAATTGCTCTTTTGGTAAAGCGTAAGTTGGCTGATCTCTGAGCTGCTTTATTTAATGTCATTCTGTAATTTCACACATGGAGAGATTTGGGGGAAATTAATTTGACTTTTACTGGTAACAGCTAAAACAAATTTTAAACAGAAAGTACAAATATTTTATTTACTTGCAACTGATATTAAATTTTTATGTCTTTATTGAATAAAGATATTTTTTAGAACTTAAATTTTATGTTATTTACAAGAAAATATACAAGGCAAGGTTAAAATGTCACATGTCCATTACAAAAGTGCACAGCAGATGCTACTGGGTGTCCAGCAAGGTCCCTTCACTCACATCCAACTTGACACAGAGCTCGTTTCCTTCGGACCCTGTTAAACAATAAGGGCGAAAAAATTTACTTTCTAGGTTTGAAAACGCATATTTACATAGAAAAGACTGAACTGAGCTGCAACCATTAATGGTATTTGAAAACATCCACTTGAAACCAGAGTTAAGAGAAAGGAAGGCTACTGGGTTTTAATACTATTTGTCAAAATAGGTATTTTCTTTTCCCTCTGGAAGTTCCACCTCTCCCACTCCTAACTGCTAAATACAGTTTTCTTAACAGAGCAGTTTTCTGCTCTGGAAATGGTAGTGGAGCGATGTTTTTTCAAGTGGATTTCTTTCCTTCCTCTGCTAGGAATGCTTCTCCCCTCTCAGCTGTCCTTTTCCTTGCATCCTGTCTGACGGACTTCCAAGGGACTGACTGCACATTGTATCGGAGTTTTTCAGCTCTTATCCTTCGACCTTGCTCACTTACGCATGCTGCCATCAAACACATCAAGTGATCCAGCATGTATCCGCGCTGGTACGTGTAGCAGGAAATACCTTTGAGATACCAATCTCAAGAGTGGAAGCAGATGGACATCCCTGCTAATGACAATTTTCCCATTTCTCCCATCGCAGTTTTCTCTGCCAAAGGAGCAGTGCTTGAAACAAAACTTCCAGGATGCTCAGTTTTCCCTTTAAATGATGACTGACCTGAAATATTTTTTTGTTCTTCACTATAACTACAAACACATTTTGGCATGAAGCAACTCAAAAAGGACTAGTCTCTGCTGAATAGAGAGGACAGGCATTGATCCCCCCCCCTGCAATATAACAGATAGCTAAGTAAGAACCAGTCATTACTTTTAAACTTCCCTGTTACAACTGTTAGAAGGAGAAAATTCTCTTTCTAAATGGCTTTACAGTCTGTTTGCAGTGATTTTGGGGAAACATTTTCCAGGGCTCTAGATGAAAACCACTGCCACTCCTCCATCCATACCCTCTCCACCTTGCATTTCCCTTTTCAGTCCTGGTCCCACTGCCAACCATCACAGATGCAGCACTTTGTTTTGTGTTGCTCTCAGTACATCCAAAATAGGAAAACAGCTGAAGTTCCTAGTTGAAGTATTTTTCTTCCTTTCCTCTACTGAAATCTGGGCCAGTGATTCCCTTGCTCTGTTCCCACCAGCTTCAGGCATAAGGAAAGGGGAAGCCCAGCCCTCAACTCTGCTGTTTCACCAGGAGCAAAGGTGGTATTAAAGGCCCCTCTTCAGCAGGTGGTTATGAAACACTGCAGAGCAGTCAGGCAGTGTCACAGTTACACAGAAAAAAAGAATGGATTAAGAAGTACAAAACTTGATCTTGATTTGCATTAAATAGTCTTTTCTTGATTTGTTTTTGAAGAAAAAATATTTTACCTCGTTAAATATACACAGTTATGGAATCACAGCAGGGTTAGGGTTGGAAGGTGCCTCTAGAGGTCACTTGGTCTAGACTTCAAGCAGAGCTACCTAGAGATGGTTGCCCAGGACCATGTCCAGACAGCTTTTGAACATCTCCAAGGGTGAACACTCCACAGCATACCCAGGGCAACCTGTGACAGTGCTTGGTCACCTTCACAGTGAAAAAGTGTTTCCTGATGTTTAGAGGGAACCTCTTGTGTTTCAGTTTGTGCCTGTTGCCTCTGGTCCAGTTACTGGGTACCACTGGTTCTGTCCTCTCTGTACCATACCCTCAGGGATTTACATAGATAAGATCCTCTGAGCTTTCTCTTGTCCAGGCTGAACAGTTCCCACCTCTCTCAGCCTCTTCTCATTGGAGAGATGCTCCAGTTCCTTCATCATCCTCATGGCCCTCAACTGAACTCTCTCCAGTATGTCCAGGTCTCTCTTGTACTGGAGAGCCCAGTCCTGCACACAGTATTTCCAGATGTGGCTGCACTGAGCAGAGGGGTAGAATCACCTTCCTCAACCTGCTGGTAACACTCCTGATGCAGCCCAGGATACTGTCAGTCTTCTGTTCAACTTTGTGTCTATCAGGACACCCTGGTCCTTTTCTGCAAAGCTGCTTTCCAGCTGCATAGCCCCCAGCCCATCTTGGGGTTGTTCTTCCCCAGGAGCATCTTTGCACTTCCCTTTGTCGAAGTTCCTGAGGTTCAGGAGGTTCCTGTCAGCCTGTTTCTCCAGCCTGCTTAGGTCCCTCTGGATAGCAGCAGGACCCTCTGGTGTATCAGCCACTCTTCCCAGTTTTGTGTCATCATCAGCCTGTCCCATCATCCAGAGCATTAATGAAGATGTTAAACAGGACTGGAGCCACAACAAATACCTCCCTAGGTACTGGCTTGCCTCAATGAGAGTTCATTCCATTGATCACCAGCCTCTGGGCCTGACCAGTGCTTTAAATGCCACTTGTTTTTTTCCATCATCAACTGATGAAAGACCAGTGTTCCTATATATATATATACGTATATATATACACATACACTATTAGCTGCTGTATCTATTACTGGACACAAAACCCATTCAGCAGAGTAGAACAGCAAGTCTAAGGTCTTTTTTTCAGCACGCAAGTTTCCAGGCTACTTCCTTGTTCCCTTGGTCAGCTGGGAAACAAAGCTGGGAAACAAGCTCTTTTACTTGTTTTTAACTGTCTGAACACTGGCATGAGGAGGGCAGCTACAAAGTAGGTCAAACATGCTGAGCCAGCCTCATTTCAGTGGAAACAATGGAAGGTGTCCTGGCTTGTTCCGATACCTAATATTTGTTTCTGTTTATCATGCAAAACAAATCACTGCTGGCACTTTGCAGTTTTCAGACACAGGGTTCATGCAACCAACGTTTATTGTTAGTGAGGTTATTTTTTTTCTGTCTAGCTAACTAGTAAATATCTCCTGCTTACTATGAAGACCAAACTGTAAAACTGCTATGTAAAACCCTGTAAAGGTTTGATATACATAAGTAGAAATATGAGATGGATCCCAAACCTAGTGATATACATTTATATAGCAATTTCTCTTGTGCAAATTCTGTCTCCTTTATCTGGAAAGTTGGAGTTAACATTGCAGTGACTAAACTAGGGCTAAGACACCCTCCTGCCAAACATTCTCAAGAAAAATGCTGCAGCTTGACATGAGCTCTGCATGCAGAATTGGGAAATGCACAAAATAGAGTGGAGACAAATCAGTCAAAGAGAAACACACAGAGATCTCAACCACTGATTGCTCTGTTGAATTCTACTGAAAGACAGCTCATACTTGCTGCATGCTAGACAAACAGCCCTGGGCTGATTTGGAAAGAGCTAATTAACAAAATGTAAGTAACCCAGATTCAAATACTAGAAAAACACAGATTTCCCCCCAAATTTAAAATTATTATTACAAGGGAACAACAGCCAAAATGCACCAGTGACCAGACTCAATAGCAGCTAGAAGAATCCTGCAGTTCTTGAACAGAGTTAGCACATACCTTACTCAGCTCTGGAAAGAGTTCTAGAATCCCAATGTCCAGCAGAACATAGGTTAACTAAAAGAAAACAAATAAAACTAAGGACACTTCAAGGCAACACTACTGCTTTTTATTTTTAACTCTGAATTAGAGCCCACTCCTCTGCTATACCAAACATTCACTTCAGGAAATCCTGTGCCAAAAGGCAAGTTTCTCACATGTTACGAGTTACCTGTTTGTTGAGCACTGGTTGCTGCAGTCCATCAAACAGAAGCCTGATGCCTTCATATTTAGCCTCTTCCCCAATGCACTTCCCTATTAAATCTAGACCAAATTCCAAAGCCAAAATATACAAGTCACGAGGAAGCACTGTAAAACAGCTGTATGATGCAATTATGGTAGTCCAGTAATTATCAACAAAAAAACCCCAGTTTAAATTAAATAAAGAGTTCAAGTTTTATCTATCTCAAATGGTAAATGGAAAAACAAACACACTTTTGGTTCATCTTTTTTTCCTCCCTTTTCTTCAGGGCTGCACACCTAAGTAATTATTACACTTTTTATAATATCAATCTATTGTCCTAATGCATGGTTTAATAAACCACAATCTGATTTTTTAAAGTTACATTCTGATTAAATGGGCTTCTCTCCCCTCGTCTATACAGTGTAAGGAGAGCTCAGATGTACCTTCTGGCTTCATGGTGTGCCTTTTTTAACCCATTTTTCATCTCGATAAAATACAAAACATAGGAACATTCTAAAGATGAAGAAATTATGATATTAAGTACATTTGTAAAGCTCTTGATTTCCATCAGCATGTCTTTATTAATTACTATGCTACAGCTTAGTCAGCAACATTTAAATGACTAAACGAACTGCTGGTTTTTTACACCTAGTATTCTGATCAACTCAAATCTCAGCAGCCCAAGTATTATTTGATTTGGGAAGGTAATGTGACTGTATTTGGGTTATCTATCTGCCTGAACAATTAACCACACTCATACAGACAGTCATGAAATAGAGAACCTGGAATGTATCTCATCATTTCTTCAAAAGTCTGCTTTGCTCGCCTCTGTTTATCCTGGAGAGAGCGAGGCTCAGTGTTCTCACAGAACACGGCATCTGCAGCAAAAACACATTGAAAAGAAGTCTTTAGGCAGCTACACATCACTGACATATAAATGTGTTTTGGATTGTGGCTTCAAAATTGAGTATCTTTTCTGTATGACCTTGACTGGAAGGGAATTCTAGCCTTGCCAGATCATAGTCTTTTGCTTACATTTACCCTGATCAAATCCAGAATCCCTGCTCCTATGGAGGTCAATCATCTTTTCACAATTTGTTTCCATTCTTTTATAAATTTTAAAGCACTATCTTATAAGTTTGGATCAATTCTACTTTAGGTTAGTTATGATCTCCTAACTCACAATTTCCCTTATGCTTTCAAACATATAAGCAGTATTCACACTTTGTGCCAAAAACACTGTCTGGAACTGTCAAAAATTTCAGATTTACCTAAGAACAAGAGAGCAAGAACCGCTGTTCATCAGAAATAACAGGTGCTCAGTTTTGGTTTTAGGCTCTGAAAGACTTACTCCTGTCTTTTTTTGTCTTTCACAAGTTTTCCTTTTGGTTTGATAAGAACAGAGCTGTCTTAATGCCAGAGCTTCTGCAAGATTGTGGTATTTATTTAAATCAGACTGCACTCAGGTGGAGTTGTGTGGACATTTTTTAGATTTTTTTAACCTCTTTCCCCTTTCGTTATTCGAAGGTCAAGAACAGTCAAGCCCTCTCAAAAGCCTACCACAACAAAGGGAACAAATAAAAGAGAAACAATAAAGGACTGTGATGTAGCACAGAAGTGAAGGAACTTAAAAGACTGCATAAAACATGCATGCTGTGATACATTAAACAACCTTTATTTTGTTTCTGTTGTTCCTTGCACAGCTTAGCAAATTACTACTCATAATACTTTTTTCTGTAATCATCACTAACAGACAACATGGCTGACTCAGCATCTTTCCACAATGAGCTTTTGCAGTCTTTTTATAGGCACACTTGATTTTTAAAACTCCACTAGCTTAGTAAGCTTTGCAGAGTTTAGTACTTGGAAACTTCAAATAAAGGATTTCAAATATCAAACTGAAGCAGTACTTTTACACCAAAGATTTAACTATTACTAACCTCTCAGCAGCGTTATCAGAGAAACCAACCGGTGCTCCTCAAATAGTTGTTCTAATTTGTAATGCAAGTAATAGTCTGTGTACAGTTCCAATGTATTTTTGAAGAGAATTCTTCCTCCCATCAAGAGATGATGCAGCCAGTCAGGAATGCGGAAAACTACCCTACCTGCAATGTTACAGAGACATACATATATGAGGCTCTTCTGACACTCTTGACAAAGGAATCATTTATTCAAAAGTAAAAAACAATGATTGCAAGCAAGCAATATTTTAGTTTTGTTAGTGCAACGCTGAAAAAATTGGTATTCTCCACAGTGCTTATCAAATACTTCCTTTAGCTATTTTTATTAATTAAATCATTCCCATTCCCAGAGTGTATGAGCAGCCTAGGCACACCTGAGAAAAGTGAAGGGACCTACTCCCATAAGCTCATAATACTGCGATGGAGAAAGAAAGAGACATAACAAAACAAGCAATAATGAATGATAAAAAAAATTACATTCTCGCACCACAATAAAGTCTTCTAAGGAATGACTGTGTCACTAAGTTGTATACTGATATGCTTGAAAGTGCTGAGCTATATATGAGTCCTAAAACAGAATTTGATTTCTTACCAAAGAACATGAACTTCACATTTGGCATGAAGTGTATGAATAATTAAGAGAAATCACTTCTTACCAACATACATTAGGTAGTCATAGACTCCTTCTACAGTCAGCATTTCCATGAAGTAGTTCTGATTTTGTCGCCTTTCTGTATTCTCAGACCGGTTTGCATTATTCTTGAATAAATCATTAAAAAGCTAAAAATAGAAACATAAGACTGACATCATTTGCATTCAAAGGCAAAAGGACAGCAATCAGTCCTTTGGGTTGTTTTTTTTCAAAAGAAGTAGCTTCTTTCCAGAGCTTTCAAAGAACTAATCACAGGCGTTGATTCGTTTCATTGTTTCTGGGTTTGTTTTTCTGAATTCTTCACTTTCCAATAAAGAGCATGTCACATGTTTCCAAGTTACACAACCAAAATACCTGGGTTCAGAACAAATCAGCAGGGTGTCTGAGACATTAATTCATGAGTCTTTTTGCTCCTGCTACCTTCTTCCAACCTAAACGATTCTGATCCTACAACACTGAAGTATTTCTAAAAGTTCCTGTTGGCTTCCATTTTGAAATAAATACAATGGTTTCTGGACAAAATATACAATTTTTTTTATGTACAGAAATACCTTTTCTCCCTGCCAGCTTGATTCTTTACAGCAAAAACTTCATAAATCTTTTAAAGTTACTAATGTTTGGGTTTCTTCACATTTATATAATTTCTCAATTAATATTCCTTTAGCCTTCTATTTTCCAATGTCATCACACCCCTCCCTGATCCCTCTATTTCCTTGGTTTTGGTTCTTTCTTAAAAGATATTATAATCCTCGCAGTACCCCAAGAGGCTCTTCCCTGAACACCATAAGGGGTCCCATACCACCTAGGCAGTACTCCTTGCCCCCTCTGCCCTCAAGTCTGTGCATTCCAGCAGCTGTAAAGGAAAAACTCTTGGAATCCTGATGGTTTTCATATTTAATACCTAGCAATCTCTATTAACAGTTTATTTTAAATTATCTTATCCCCAAAATAGTTGATCTAAAGATAAAATAATATTTATACAAAATGCTCTGTATTACAAAAAGAAAGTTCAAAAGTTTATGCCAAGGTCCTAAAAAAAATATTCCAGAACTAGAAGCAAAGGCAACATAATCATAGCATTCCTGTGTTGAGATGATTGCCACTGTCACAGGTTTTTCTTTATCGCTCCCAAATTAAAATTACTTCCAAAGAACAGGAAGTAATTTGCTTATATGTGGTTCACTTTCTATACAGCAATTCTCCCTGAAATAAATAAAGCCATAAAACATGCAAATCACAAGCTCTGAATCATGCAAGTCTCTAAACAGAATGCTCTGCACTCTTAGGAAAAACTACATCAGGACATCTGGCAAGACTCAGGTTATGACCTGTACTTCTTCAGGCCCTCTCTTTTGTTAAGTGCTAAGCTGCTGGTATTATCTTCACAAGGTTCACTCAAACTAAACAACACCAGGTTATTATATAAATTACATGAAAGGGCAAATATGGTTAATGCACTGGGGGATGACTGGTATCCAGGAACGCAACAAACCTACAAAGAACACGTAATTATTCACGCCTACTGTATGAAAGCGTCCCTGGTATGTTGTTTAAAAAACCCTGTATAAACTGAAGTCTATATCCTCCTCAATATTGAAAAAATCTAGCTGAATTACTGTAACTTAAACAAGAGCCTCCTTTATTTTTTAGATAGACCCCATGACCTGACAGAGCCAACTCAAAGCAGTCCATTGTGCAATGTAGACATAGGTTCAGGAGTGTCTGGAGGCCAAGCTAAATCATTAACAGCAACCTGGTAGGTGACCTATAAAAAAAAAATCAAACATGAAGGCCAGCTTAGGGCAAAGCTTTCTGACTTCCAAACGCTATTTCCACTTTCATCCCAAACCAGAAGCAGCATCTTTTGAATGATGCATGTATCTCTGCACATGGATAATCTGTCTTGCACCTTAAATATAATGGTTCCTTGATCAGAGCCAAGCTTTGAAAGCTCTGACTCTTGCATGTGGCATTTCAGAACGTAACAGCAGTACAAGGCATGGCAAAACAGCTGAGCCAACGACCAGTTTTTATAAAGTACATTTTTTATACTATTCCAGTGAAAGTGAATATTCTATAGTCATTTGCAATGCACGGCAGCAGCCATAACACAAAGTGGCATTACATCTCTACTTCTACGTTTTGTGCTTTCCAGAATTTTGCTTCTGAGGAAATTCAAGTGAAAAATATACAATTGGTTATCTAACACAAAAGTTGAGATTACATTCACAATTCAGATAAGCACAGGATTTTGCCTTGAATGTTTCTCTGCATGCTAATATTTGAGACTGGCAAGACAAACCTCAATGCTATCATTATTCACAAGTATCTTTAAGATTAAATAGTAATTGCAATTATAACCACGAAATATCTTAAAAGTTGTTGGATGAGGAAATTCCATGAATTGGTATTGATTAATAATGGGAGTCAAGCTCTTGAAGCAAGTGAAAGATATTAAGAAAAAGACCAAAGCAACCCCTTGTACAATAGGCTATCGCACCTTGATGGGAAAAACGAGGAAAGTAAGCGTGAATGCTCACATAAAGTGCCTCACAGGAAAAAAAGAAGTTACGCAACGGTTAGCAAGCACATATGCAAACATACACCCGTATACGTTCCAGCACAGGTGAGGTGTATAAAAGCAATACCATGACTATGAACAATACCCACAGCCATCGGCATGAACCTCTCCCCTATTTTTCCTGCTCATTTGCAAAGTACAGAGGATTATAACAAAATGGTAAGAAGAAAGAATGTATGTAGTGCCTGAATCACATCAGTCAGGGTGTACCCTACTCATGGCAACAGAGTTGGCAGCACCAGCACTGGGGAAATGTGCATTGTATTCTCAGCAGATTCCAACATGTTGAAACTGGAATAAACAGATCTGCTTCAGACAAGGTATAGGAGAACACTGTGGCAATAAAAGCATCAGCTGGAAAGCAACTCTACCATTTACCAAAAAACTGAAGAACTTTCTTACTATGAGATGACATGCTTCTCTCACAGGTGGGCACTCAAAAAGACCAAAACTTTTGTCTCTCTGGCTGCCTGCCAGATCCCCTCATTGACTCCATACAGGTAGTTCACACAGTCCTGGTAAAGACATCCACCTCCATCACCAGGAGTGAGGGTGCCTGGCTACTGCACAGCACTTATGTCAGAGAATCACAGAGTGGTCTGGGTTGGAAGGGACCTCGAAGTTCATCTAGCTCAAACCCCCCTGACATGGGCGGGGACACCTTCCACTGCACCGGGTTGCTCCAACCTGCCATTTAACAATTCCAGGGATGGAGATACCACAGCCTCTGTGGGCAACCTGTTCCAGCATCTAACCACCCTCACAATGAAGAATTTTTTCCTAATATCTATTCTAAACCTACTGTCTTTCAGTTTGAAACTATTTCCCCTTGTCCTGTCACTAAACGCTCTTGTAAAAGCCTCTCTCCAGCTTTCCCTTCAGGAATTGGAAGGCCACACATCTTCACAAAGGTGTCATGTTCTACCAACACAAGTGAACTGCAGAACTGAACAGGTAAAGTCTATGCCAAACATATCTGGGGAGTAGGGAGGGGTGCTACTCCAGCCTAGCTCTGCTCTGGCCTTTGAACTGAACACCCTTGGTGCCTGCATTCCTAGACAGAATTTTCCAGATTAGTTTCATCTGAAGTAAGTTCAGTTAATGAGTTCTAAGACAGTTTCCTAGTATGAGAAGAAGTGTGACACGCAGAGGTGATCAGGAGATTTACTTCCAAAAAGCATCATCGATACGAACTAAAGTGGTCTGGCAGATGAAACCAGTGTTGCTTAAAAATCAAATCCAGGAAGTGATAAGGTATAAATGGCCCAGTGTCCTGGTACCCAGCACAAATCTTTTCTCACGTGTGGGCTGACTTGAGAAAGAGAAAACTATCTTCCAAAGAAGGCACGAGCACCCCAGCAAATCAGCAAGAGGGATGAATTTCAAATGTGCATGGGAAAACTCAGCAGAGACCATAACCCAGCACAACCTGGTTTATCAGATCTCTAATAATTACCATTAATTGTGTGAGTGTGTGCACCCTGGCTGAACTGATAGATGGCAAATTAATGAGAAAGTAGTCGGCACATGAATACCTCATGCATACTCGCCTCTGTTGGTCAAAATTAGTACTATAATTTGAGCACAGATATTCAGCATCTGATCACAGAACTGTCTTGCAGCCTCCCCCAAGGCCTTGAGTACCCATCATTAAATAATAATCACAGCTCTGCAGGAGATACAATGAAGTGTGAAAGTTTCCATCCATTTACAGCAAATGGCTCCCCAAAACAAAACAGATTTCTTCTGGGAAAGAAAAAGAATATTACAAAAACATATGCACTACCAATTATTCATGAAAGAGCTAATTAGAATAAAGGTGCTTAGAAAAACAGTGAACTCACTCTGACCACAGAAGGTGAGAAGGAATGGAGAGCTGGGGCTAGCCTCATCTTTTTTGCTCTGTGCAAAGAAACTCATATCCTGTGACAAGAGCATCTGCTACAGGCTAAGCAGCACTGCCAGCAACAGCTTGGCCTCAGACTCTACAAACTTGTGTCTCCAATGAACTGCATACACGGCCACTTGGTCAGCAGTGATACAGAGGTTTCTCCCACAATGATATTTCTGAAAATGACACCCAAAACCAGAAGGCAGTAAAGATCTATGTTTTGCTTAAGGAAACTTCAGTATTCCAAAAGAAAAGCCAAAGTACAGACAGCTCTTTGCTTTCCTGGGATCATCATGGTTGAAAAGCATTGGGAAAACCTCATTTCAGAGCCTGAATTTCCGTACACATATTCTTTTACAAGAATAACATGCTGACACTTCAAAGAATGTGTTTACATTTTAACTGAGCAATGCTTCAAAATGCAAAGCTGGTAGCTCAGGTATTTAAGTATGTTAAACATATTAAAACTGCTCACTTCTACAGTTCTTGTCAGATCACAATAAAAAAAAATTATCTGATTGTTCATCCTCTGTTGTAGTGTGCTGTCAGCTGTTTTATAAAGAACATTTGAATTATTTATGCACGTACTCTGTTTCTAGCACAAAAACTCTACATATGATTTTTAAGACTGCTGATACATTTATAACCCTCTGAATAGAGAGCAATAGCAAAATATCTTAACCTTGGAAATAGTGTCCAAGGTGAGAAAGAACTTGAAATGAAGGATACTAATTTTGTGTATATGCACATGTAAGCTAACACTAAATATTGGCTGTAGTAATTCAGCCTTCATGTTCAGAAGATGAAACCCAAACAAATTAATAGATTTAACTGCTATTGAACTTAATCAGTATAAACATTTTGTGGCTGTAAATTCTGTAAGTGTCATAACACTATAAAAATGTCCATAGTGAAGGAGATCAAAAGGTCCATTTTTTCAACAGTCCATCACTACCAAGAACCATAAATGGATCCTGGGAACAATCACCCTAGACAGTACTTTTCACCAAATTCTTCCAGTCTCCAATTGTTTTCAACTAAAAAAAAAAGTTCAAGAGCTGGATTCAGTCTCTCTATAGGTATTCACCCCGAATACATTCCCTTTTTGTGAATTTGTCCTGTCTCACTGCATAGTTGTTTAACCTTCAAGTATTCACAAAATCTTTTTGCAAAGAGTTCCACAAATTTACTAACCATTGCAAGAGCTACCACTTTTTGTTTTGAACACAACTCCTACCACCTTCATTTAGCACCTCTTAGTTTTTGCAGTAGAGAAGAGAGGGAAAGAAAGCCACCTCAATCTTTATCCCCTGTCCTCTCACGCTAAGCATTAGACTTCAGACTATCATACATTTCCCACTTATCACTCTGCAAAATGAAGTGTCCCAGCTGACACTTAGTCATGGAAATATTTAGGTTGAAAAAGACCTCTAAGATCATTAAGTCCAACCGTTAACCCAACACTGCCAAGCCCAACACTAAACTATGTGCCACATCTACACATCTTTTACATACCCCTAGGGATGGTGACTCCATCGCTTCCCTGGGTAGCCTGTTCCAACGCTTGACAACCCTTTCCAGCATGAGATTTTTTCCTGATGTCCAAACTAAACCTTCCCTGCAACAACATGAGGCCACTTCCTCTCTTCCTATCCCTTGTTACTTGGAAAAAGAGACTGGGACCTGTGTAGTCCAGTCTCATATGTAATTCAACTCCTCTTCCCAAGCAAATGAGATAGCAGGAAAGCACATACTACTGAGCTTTCCTTTAGAACCTCTCACATGGCAAAGTGTATGCACATTCCATATTTTGTCCTGAACCACAACAGCTCTGTAGCACTGAGTTTGGGTCTTTGAAATCTGAGACCAGAAACAATATTCCTCTCTAAATTCCACAAATACACGATCACTCTAATGCAGTCCAACACAGAAATATGAAGACTAGCGTCTTTCTAAAGCCCCTGAAGCTAGCAGAAATCTTTACATTACATTTTACCAGGCTCTAACTACAAATACAGGAAAACAAAGAAAGGAACTATCTTTACCTGCAGACAAATAAAAGATTGAAACTGGTAAGTGCTAAACTTTCACTGTGCCAATGCTAGAAAAAGTAACTATGCACGAAGTGATACAGTTAACCTATTAGGAATGTCAGACAAGGATGAACACTTCGAAGGCAGATAAACAGGTACCTTGACAATTTGGCTTGTAGCACTTCCACAAGTCACATTTTCATCAAACACTCAAGCTCTTCACTTTGAAAAGGAAGCTTCCTAAAGACACTAAAACATTCCCTGTTTTACACCTTTGCTTTCCCCCCTTCTTCTCCTCTCTGTACTTCACAGGCTCTCTACTTTGTTTCCTCATCTCCAAATATACCAAGATGTAAAAAACAACAGCAACAACAAAACTACAAAACTTGCCCACAACCCTCAAAAATCATTCAAAGGTATTTATACATCAGAAGATGACAAAAGATCTCTCTGCTACTATTCTCTCTCTTGTATGAAATGGTAACACAAAATAGGTAAATTTTTATATTTATGAGAGGTTTTTTTGTTTATTCTTTCCATTTTCATGGTATGGTCAGTCTTCCCCACTCCTATGAAGTGGGAAAGGAACATGACTTACTATACCTTCTTATTATTTTCAGAAGTGGGACTCAAAATGGTAAGTTCAGGCCTACTTGGTTTAGGCTTGGGAGATTCACAGGAGTTGATAAAATTCATGATGAACGGCTCCAAATGCTGACCTTTCTGAAAAAAAAAGATTCAAGTGACAGGTCACTCATATAATTATAGGAAAATGAAAACTAAACAAGAAAAGCATTTTCAAACAAAGTGTTGAATAGCCTGTAAGTTAGTAATCTTGTAAAATTAGTTACTGAAGTTATTTAGTTATTATTATGTTGGCAACCTGAAAGAATTACTCACCTCTTTCATGAGTTTTCCTGGAACAGATTTTATGATTTTACCTATAATTAGAAATAAACAAAAACTTTGTTATCACTGTCTGATTTGAAAGACCTTTTTCTCTGCTACATTTTAAGTACTTACTGTCTAGTCATTACTTAAAAACACAATAATTTTTTAAAATCTGATTTTTTTTTCATTTGGTACAAAAAGCTAAGAAAATAGTCTTGTGCATAACCATCTTGCAACTTACTGCTTAGTATTCTTCAAGAAAAGATACTTAAAATATTAAAAATATACAGATTATTATCTGAGTACTTAAAAAAAGCTCTTGCAATAAAGTATTGTAAGTCTACCTTTTACTTTTTAGAGGCTTAAACATAAATATCTATATATGCATATATATATTTATATACATGCATATATTTTTTATATATATGTGGTATATATAAAAATAGTAGCGTAACAGCAGTACTACTACAACACCAGGTACAGGTAAAATTCCCTGTCCTTAAGTTCTTCACAGAATCATAAACACTCATCACAGAAGAAATCAAGATAATCAAGATTCTCCTCTTTCCATGAAAAGATCAGCTAATCTAGAGGGATTCTGGGGAGATCCAGCCTCAAAAACCCTTCTGAGTAAAATTTTATAAATTGGACAGGTTACAGTTGTGACCTTAAAAATCAGCTCTTCTGTCCTGATAAGGCTATCAGGATATGGCACAGTAACTTGGAATACTGAAAAATGAAAGTGTCCAGGACTAGTTTTATTTTAAGCATTACATTTACTGTAATACTTTTTTATCTACATGTCATTAAATTTGAAATTTACATCGGAAAGTATGTAAAATGATCAGATGATAATAATACACACTCTCATCCTCATAAAAAGCCCTATTGAAATGCCAAGACTTGTTATAGTGCTGTTTATGGAAGTGAAGCACAGTGTCAGGCAGGAAATGCATTACAGTAAACACCATAATTACAAGCTTTTTTTAAACAATGTACTGTTGGATCTAGAAGAGAGGTCTGAAACAAAAACAAAACCTTTCAACTGGATGATGAAAAGCAAAATCTCATTCAACAACTCATAAAGCACATTAAGCCCCAGCAGGTTCACACCAGGACTAGGAGATGCAGAAATGCAGTGACAGTTCAGACATGGCTTTTGGTACCACACCAGTGCCAGAACAATAAGTGGTACAAGACATGAGGTTGACCTCACCAGCTCAGGCCCACTATTCTGAGACAGCTACACTGCAGCCAAGCTGTAAAGTCACACTGCAGTCTACTTTTTTCATTTATTATGAACTCTTACATTAGACATCACAAATCTCACAACTTCTCAATTTCCATTTGACCTGCCTATATCACACACACACCACTGCCTCAAATCTATTAACTAGTTCATGTTAAAAAAGATCTTAACACTAGCTAAGACTAGAAATATCAAATATGGTAGCTTTCAGAATAAAATAAACAGATTTTAATCAACTAAAATCCAAAGATAGTTTTATATTAAAATTCTTCATACCATCTCATCTGTAAACAATGACAGACTCATGCAGATTTGACTTGTGACAATACCGTAAATCTTCTTGAATGATGAAATTTATTAATAGAAATCTTATCATCTTGCTTTCTGACACAAAAATTCAAAAGCAACCACAAACACCTTTCTTCATAATTTCAAAAAGGTCTTTTTTCTTCAAGAAAGAAGTATCAGCATATCTTCCTTGCTTTTAGGGGCTGTGAAGGAGCAGAGTTCTTATTTTCCACATCCACAAGAATTATCTATTCATTACTACTATCATTCAGAGAATCACAGAACTCAATCACAGCATCCACAGTATTACTATTTGTCAGCATAAACAAGTAGCATATTACATACCAAGATTCACATCGGGTAACATTTTATCAAGAAACTGAGTCTCTCCTCCATTAGGGGACAGGAAATCAGCTAAAAGCTGGCTGTTACTCAGTTCTGGATGTTGTAGAAGTTTCTTTGAGACAGAAGGAAATAAAGAAGTACTTTAGTCTCTAAAAATCAGTTTCTCTATAGCAAAAATTCAAAGAGCATTATATTGCCATAGATATCGTCATTTGCAATAGATTTCTGTTTTCAGTCACTTTAACAAGTTTTATTTGCCCAGCTGAACCCTTGGGCAAACTCTGTAACTAAAGTTCTTGGAAACAAACAAAAGAAGCAGATATTCTTTTACTAGTTTTGTATCATTAGTTTCAGAATATTCTTTAGTCCAAATGTTTTTTTGATACCTGCAGATATTCCTGAAACTCCTCTCTCTTGGATTTTAAGAACTCATAGTTCTTGGGGCCAATGATTCGCTTTGAGGGAAGCTGAGCATCAGGAAACGTACCTAACAGAGATAAACTATTCTTGTAATGCAATAAACATTGGTTTCATTGTAACACATGATAATCATAAGGAATGATAATCACAGCAGGGGAAAAGTGGTTTTCCAGATGATGGAGAACATACCATGAAATTCTGTAAGCTTCGACTCAAGCACATAAAATTCTAGATACCTCCTGTAGACAGACCAGTGTTCAGGTTCATGTCCAACTGGGGGAAAAAAAGTCAAAAACCAGGTTTTATGCCACCAGAGAGACAAATTAGCAAAAGGAACCGTATGATGGATTATTACAGGAAAAATCTCAGTGACCTTAGTCCCCTATATTGTAGTAACAAACTTTAAGATACCTTTAGTGTTAAACTGAAATGCATAACTAGACAGATAGATATGGTAGGCAGATATGGTACTAGCAAGGTAACTATCACATCATTTAGAGGATTCCTAAAATCTAAACAACTAAGTGCTCCATAACTTCAAAATTTATGTGGGATGCTATGTTAGATCTATTTTCAAACTTTTAACCAAATTATTTACAGAAATAGTACTTGTTGAATACAGTCCTCTGTATCATCAGCTTGAACATTGATCATTCTTAATCCTGGAAGATATCACTAAATAACTCTTAAATACTTTCTGCTTATTGTGCTTATTATTAGTCTCACTAACACAAATACACACAGCCTCTGGATGATGCTGTTTTCCCTCACTTCATATGGATATATTGCTGTCTAGATACTGATAAACTAACTGCAAGCCAGTACAGTTCCTAATAAGCAAAACATTTTAATTTTCTAAGAACTATATTTTAAGGTTATATAAAAAGTTATTTATTTCTCATTATTCCAAAGTTCAGAGTAGGTGAAAGAAAAATAAGCCAGGTGCCTGTTAATGTGAACTGTAGGATAAATATTTTTGGAAAGAGAACATCTCGAACTCTGGCACAGAGTCTAAATAGAACTGATAGAACTGATTCATGCTGAGGAATCAGTTCTCAACTTGCAAAAACAAAATGTGATCATTTATTTCTCAAACGCATTTCCTCATAACTTTCAAGCCATTATTTCAAAATCAGAACACATATGCAAAGCACACTGCAAGAGCTATCAGAGGAGAGCATGCTATAATAATTTTGAGTTCACTTTTAAATGACACTGGTTTTCCACAACATTGCATACCTGCCCTTCTATCATTTCTCTCTACATCAATGCAGAATACAGGAATTCTCTCCTTTCTGTCTTTTCTTTCCAGGGAGGGATCATCAAAAAAATCTACATATGGGATGCTAATTTTCCATGCAGCAAGGTTGCGGGGTGTATTTGGGGTAGTGACAGCCTCCTCAGGAGAATCATCTTCCATCACCATAACGCCTTCTTCAATCTGTAAAGATTCAAACACAAAGATCTCTATTTTAAACACAAAGATTTCCGTTTTAAACACACAGATTTTCTATTTTAACTGGTACAAGCGACCTCTCCAAAACTTCTATAAGGCAATGAAACATAAATCAAGTTTCAAGTATGTGTCACTAAGCAATAAAAGAAAAAGAAATCATTTCATTAATGGAGATCCCATGTAGATTAATTTCTGGGTTTAGATCCGCTGCAAATTAATTTGAAATTAGCAACTTTTAGTGAGATCAGAAAATTTTTACAGTGCTATCAAGTTCCATAGATGATACTTCAGGAAGAGGGAGTGGGACACAGAAGTACTAAAGGAGAGACAGCTGGAAGAAAAAAAACCAAATCTATCTAGAGTTCTAAGTTGTTGAGTGCTCTCACCTTCTTCTGAAAACAATTCTGAACCAGGTGAATAATACAAACTCACATCAACACTTTTAGCTTCAGGCTAATAAGCATGGGAAATAAGCTAGCAGTTTATCAAGGTGATGAACACTTAAATGTTTTGGTTGTTAGAACAGCTCAAAAGATTGAACTGACAGACACTCTGTAAAAAATACGTGGCTACCTACAGCTTCTGACCAATTCCTTCCTCTTGCCTTTAAAAATTTTCCATTTGTCCCCCAATTGTGCTTCAGATAACAATGTCCCATGCAATAAATTCTACCATTGGCTGTACCCATGGCTGTTTACATGGAAGAAAAGCATTGAGGGAGACACCCAAGACAAATAAGAAAGGACTGCTGCTCCTGTCCTTCAGAGAAAAAGCTGCACAGACTAACTTGACAGCAATTTCTCCACTACTTTATGGTTTTAAAGTCTTGTAGCAAACTTCAGAAGAGCCACGTATGCAATGCTACACATGCCATTTTATAAATGTAGGTAATAAGGCATGGTAAGTTTTTAGAGAAAAATTCATTTCCTACAAAAATGTCTGACTGCTACTTTTAATAATTCTATGTACTAAGGCAATAAGCTCAGAGGCACACTAACTGGGAATGTGGTCTTGCCTTTGAATGAATACAGGGAATACAAAGCAATTTAATCAGAAGCCAGCACATGAAAACTTTGTAGTGAGGATGGCAGAAACTTAACATTTTCAAATAAAAAAGGAAAAAAACCAAACCACCCCAAATCAACAAAGACGCTTTTACTCACGAAGTCATCTTCTCCTTCGTTTAAGTTATAGTTTGGCAACATAGCTCCTTCCATTGCAGAACTCTTGAATACACCTTTTATTTTGTTCCCTATTTTGCTGATTCCAAATGATTCTCCTCTCTTCTGTGTGGTCCTAGAATCATATAAGCCACAGTTCACAACACAAGGCATATTATTACACAGCTGCTCAGTAGGCCATTGCACACCATTTGCAGATAAGACAACTCTATAAACAAGTAGACAATATATTTACAGTTCCACTTAGGTTAAAATTTATTTATTTATAATTCTGTTCTCTGATCAATCAGCAAAATTTCTTGATTACACTTTTAAGAGAGACGGGATTTCCATATGTTTAACCACAAGAAAACTCTTGGAATAGTATCCTAGGAATTCAGGACATAGAATAAACAATTAGCTAGGTAAAACAACTTTGTTTTGACAGCAGAAACTGTGGTATTGCTACAGGCATGCACATCGAGAAGGTCATTAACTTTGTCCTTTTCCATGTACTCATATTTAAATATTTATCCACTCCTGCCAAGTACTTTAAATGTTGCAGTTAGATGAACTTTCTTAATGGAATTTTACAAACAGGTATCATTCAAGATAGATCTCAATTTTTAAACAGTAAGGACAGACAAAAGGAATGTTCAAGGAGCAAGACTGAGCATGAGAGAAAACAGATGCAACTGAAGAATCTTGGCTTGAAGAGAGTCTGACTGAAAGATGAAGACTTTGTAAAGTCTTGGGTAGGAAGCACACTCCTTATGGAGAGAACAGATTTTGTAGCATTCTTATGCCTTACACGAGTCCTGACACCAAAGATTACTTCATGCATAGAAACACTAGTAATTCTGGAAAGAAAAAAGTTTCTGTTGAATATGGAATCGGCTGGCAGTTACTTAGATTCAATATATGCAGTTGACAGGTAAGTTAAAAATCGATGCAGTGAACTGCAGAATCAAAGATTCAAAAGAAATGTATAGACCGATATTAAAAACACAATTGGTCCTTTGGAGGACAAAAAATATCTTGTTTCTTTTTCCTTTAAAACAAAAAATTACTGACTACTGAACAGTAGTACAAACAGAACAGTAGTGATCAGCGGATAAAAAAATCTTCACTGCCTATAAAACCCTGCAGACAAGATCAACTGCTGACTCCAACCATACGTGTGTGTTACTAATGATCTTCCTGTTTATAATTTTACACAGACTGTGTACTTGACTAAAATTGCGTAATTTCCAAATCTTTTGCTTTTTGCATCTCATATTATCATGAGCTCCAAAGCAGACTGGAACCATCTATCTTACTTATCTCTGCTATGCAAAGATAAGGTTGCTTGGCTGCTTGTAGTCTAAATCCATGCCTGAACAATTTTACTCAATTTTTAAACACCCTGTACCACACATTACCGTGCTGAACTGAACCGTTTCATGTTGCTACTTGACTCTTGTTCAAGTGCTTCAACACTGGGTTAGAAAATACAAATCTCAATCAGACAAAACTAGTTTTTCTGGAAGGTTAACAATTAAGACCTCTGTGTTGACTCTTAAAGGAAGTTTTCATCATTCCTGTGAAAACCTGTGCAATTCTCAAGAGCTTCAGCAAAAACATTAATTTGCACTAGCTCTGTGATTTGATAGGAGTACTCCAGGCTCAAAGCAGTTTTCCCACACTGATCATGCTCCATCTGAAGGTAGCATACACCTGTGCCTGTACTGAGCTGTATGGGGCCAGGACTCACCCTGACAGCTAGGAAACCAACACTTCAGCCCCAGTGCTGAGCCCAAAGATTACACCAGGTGAATAAAGAGCAATCACTGAACTGGACAAGTATAAAGTGACAAACTAGGATGGGATTCCCTTCACAGGAAGAGATAAACTCAGAACAAATACTGGTGAGTAAGAGGGTACACGGAAATTCTCCATATACAGAGAGAACAAAGGAGTGGTTTGGTAAAAGTCCTTGAGCAAGCACACAGAGCACAAACCACATTAGATGAACATGGCAAAAAATCTGTGGATGCTGGATATGGACAGACAGCAGGATGACTGACATTTTGAAGAAACGGAGCAAGAAAAAAAAATATATACCAAAAACAGGCATTAGGATGAAAATCTAATATATTCACTGGCTAAGCAGAAATAGGAGAAAGAACTTGATGCTAGGTAGGAGGAAAGAGATGGGACTAGGATGGGGCAGGCTCAAGACATGAGGGACCAAAGAGGATAGCAGGTAGCTAGTTTAGAATAGAGATTAGAATTTTTAAGACCTGTCAACTCTGCTACTGTCAACAAATATATATATACAAAACTCGCTGGAAAGAGTATCCCACTCCCTCTGGTGCTAATCCACGTAATAACATTATTAGATGGTCATTCTATAGTTTGCTTTCTTGGCAGGGCCCTCTGTGGAGAGCCTAAATGTTCCAACATTCCTGATGAATGTTGGAATATGATGACAACAAAATATCGGAATACTTTTTTTTTTTTAAACATTTCAGGAGCCACACATACCTAACATTAAAAAAATTAAAATTGTTGTTCGCTCTATAACGGGGAAATGCAGACCAAAGTTTGCAGTAGTGCCACTAAGCACTATGGCATTCTTTAATCATGGATGGTTGCCAAACTATTTTCCCACAGGATACCTCCCTCATTCAGTGCATCAAACAGATCTTGGCAAGTGATGAGCCAGGGCTACACAGATGAAGAATGCTGTTGGGAGCCTCTCTGGGTCAAAAAGTACCAGATCGGTTGTATATACCAGATGGGCTAGATGTTAATATGTATGTGAAATCAGAGTACCATTTCTTTTTGGCTGACTAAAACCCCTACACCCAATGAGGAGAAATGCTGAGCACATATTGCCACACTTGAAAAATCAATGAGCTGCATTTACATCTCAAGTACTCCTTATTGCTCAACAATCTAGCAAATTATAACTCAACACACTGAACTGGAACATAAAATATAAAAGCATCTAATTACCTTGATTCCTAACCTGAAAAATGAAGTTGAAAGATACTCATATACTAGTCTTGAGGGAAATTTATGCCATACTGATGCTCTGATAAATTCCAAGGAAAAGTCCATTAAGAAGTTTGGATAGTGTGTATTTGAAGAGGCACAAATAATGAGAAAACAAACCACTGAACAGCTATTAAGGCATTATTAAGTGGTCACAGTCTACCTACAGCCAATTATAAAAAATTGCATATATTGTCATCAAACCTGTAACAGTTACAAGAGAAGCTGCAGAGAGAACTAATTTGGGGAACTTGTTTTTGAGTGCTTGATAATAATAATAAAATGGTTATATATGCATGCGATGTTAGACAACGATCACTCCGAATACAGCTGTGCAAGATAAAACAAGCACTTAAGTGGATAAAATCTCAAACAGGATCTGGAAATATGACATGGGGTAAAGGAAATATTGGGGTAGTTAGCAGTCACAGGCCAAAAAAAAAAAAGCTTCAAATATATTTCACAACAAATGACAACGGACGAACTGTTAACAGCAAGCAATGTTAATGTATTGTAAACTCGTGAAATTAGTAATTAAGCAATTTCTAAACACTTGTGAAGAGGACATGGGGAGTAAAGCTTTTTGTGAGGAGAAATGCACTTTAGTCTAAAGAAGACACTCACATGTTTTTTACATATAAAAGTTAACTACTGTTATAAAGGCTGTGTGATGAAGTCACAAGAGATGCAGCGTAACTAACACACACTGAGTGTTAGATAGACTTACCGTAAGTCATCCAAACTCAGGCTACTTCTGCAACAACAGGCACATAAATTACCTCCAGAGCCCAGCAGAAATAATGTTAAAATCAAAAAACAAGCCCACCAAAAAAACCCCAAAAAACAAACCAACCACATTTGAGATACCTATCCCAACAAAACTGAACCAGCTTTGACCATCACCATGGATTAACAAAAAAGGTGATACAATTAGGAGTTTCTGACCTAAAATCCTAAGAAAGTGAAATGTGAACAGTGCCTGCACATTTCATCACCACAATCTTGGCCTTTGAATTTAAAACTTCAGTTACTAAAACCTTCAGGTCTTCACTGACATTCACAGAAGCAAATGACAATTTACAGATAACAACTTTCATTCTTTTAGCTATCTGTAATGCCAAACAGGTAGCTAACTTTTTCTATAACCTATGTTCAGAAGTCATGTAGGAATCTAGTTAATTTGGGCAATACAATGAAAAGGCCGTGGATTTATTTTATGTAATAATACACACCTCATACCCCCCCTTTGTATTAGATATAGTAAAAGCCACTATTAAAAATTAAAATATCTTTTTTCAATTTTTATTCCACAGATTTTACGAATTGTCATGTATTTTTGATATTCTACATAATCTGGTAACATTCTACATTAACATTGTCACCAAACATAGGATTTTAATTCTCCAGAGCTACTGAATTCTGGAAAAACTGATATTAAAATACTAAAATTTTAGATTTTGTTTTGCAGAAGGGTCTGATTGTAAGATATCTTACCCTGTCTTTAGCCATGTTAACTGCAAAACTGGAAACATAACCTACCAAGTTAGAAATTATGGTGACTATTACACTGCATAGAACTGTTCGCAGACTTAAATCCACGGGTTTTACTCCTAACCACTCCCTGAAATTGTTAGCATCTTTTCTACTTGGCCCTTTAAATTCAAGAACATTAATTTCATTGCTATCCCAATGATGAGAAATCAGCATGTATCTACTTCTATTTGTGGTCACGGCATGTAGAAAATCAAGACAGATACACAGCTATCCAGAATCTGTGTGCTTATATTACATGACAGCTTTTCTTTTTTCGTTAGACTTCCAACCCCGAATACCTTTAAGTAATGTAGTAATATATTATAAATACATAACCATGAGAGGGGGAGAGGGAATACTTGTCGTCTCTCTCACTCTATCCAAATTAAGGCAACAGAACTGGACCTTAGAGCGCCAGTTATCACTGGCCACACACATTAAACATCAGGTAGAAAACATCGTTATGAGTTAAAACTGTTGACAACTACAGCTAGTTATCAAGTTGTCAGAATATTCTCAATGTGAGTTCTTCAGATTCCAGAAACACTTGAGATTTCCCACGTATTGCCTTAGGAGTTTTCATAGCACACATTATTTGTCCAATCTGTATGCAAAAAGCTATGATTATTTTGTACAGTTCAAAGAAATGATTCAAACAAAAAAATTACACAGTCACTTCTTCCTACCTTCCCACCAGCATTTTCTAGAAACTCCATAATTTTCTTGTCTTACAACAAGTGAAATGTTTCAATACATTACTCACATGCACATTCCACCAGGATTTCATACCTACTCCTTGATTTGATTTTTCAACCAGCAGTATCTGTGCAATATACACACAGTACCCATACAAAAGCATCAAAGATATGGGAAAAAAACCTCATCTCTTTGCATGTGATTTCTTTCAAGTGGAAATAATAACAGAAAAGGGAAGAGAAGGCAGGACAAAGAGTATGGAATAACATCTGGAATAATTCCATGAGTATGGAATGTTATTTTGTTATGATGGAATTTCCCCCTCCTTGGCAGTGACTGTACCAAATTCTGCAGAGGGAAACTCCAAAGCAACAGGCAAACTACTTGCAGATAGGAACTGTGTTTCATGGAAATAATCACTGAAGTACCACTTCAGGAATATAATCTAGTATCATAAATAAGCATACATACTGAGGGCATTCTGATTGTTCCAAAATGTAAACCAGACACATTTTCACTAATGCTGTAACAGTCCCCAAATAAAATTCGCTTATTTTGTAGCCAGAGAAGTATTTCAAAAACTCCAGGTAGAGACTGCCTATAATTTCACCCTTTCTATTTTTAAAAGCAAAGCACCAAGGAAGCGACCTAAATGTTTTCATACTTTAACTAGATTTAGGAAGTGTATGAGGGGATACTTCCAACCCCTGACATGAATAATTTTGGGAAAGAAACCAGAAAGCAGCTTTAAATGTCTAGATGAAACCCCGTAGCCATTTTCAACAGAAGGTGAAGTGTGTTTTAAGGTCACCATCTCTAGTGGAGTACCCTGTAGGAAAGAAATGCAGTTTAGTCTAGCTGCATTCCATGCCTCTTTGCTAAGAAACAGAAGCTTCCCAGCACCAGTGTGAGAAAGCATTGCACTAAAGCTCCAGTCCTGGATCTACAAGAAATACAAAGACTACATGAAGGATGTCACCAATGGAGTTATACTAAAGAGAACAACCATGTAGTTTTTGAAGAACAGGAGCAGGGAAGAAAGATATGTCCCAGTAATACATCTCATGGTAGGCTGCAAAACAAGGGAGCTGCTGCTAGGTGTTTCTCTATTGAAAGCACAAAAGGTAAAATAAATTGCTGTTACTCCTCTAGAGGAGTTTACCATCTAAGATTGTAAACACTAGCATTTTCCATTATACCACAGATCTTACTTCATACCAAGAAAGCAAGCCCATCCAAATTAAAGATTGAAGTTTTCCTTCTTTTGGCTAGGCCATAAGAGCAATTCAGTTGGGCTAGTCTATGACATTCAATATAAAATGAAAGACAAGAAATCATGAGACCTCAAGGTTTATCAACTCAGCCCCATAGTGGAAGATCATCCATCCACACCACAGGAGAAGCTCTTCTCCACAGGCCCTAAGGAGCCTGAAGGAGGTCTGTAAGTACATAGCCCGAGCTCAGAAACAAGCTTTCTGACACTACATTTCTGCAATGGAGTTGGGGGATAGAAAGCACATTTCACCTGGGAGACATGGCAAATCTTCCTTGTCACAAAATGAAGAGATTCTCATACAGGTTGGTTGTATGTACCTGTCCCTTTAACATCTGAAATCCCAGAAGACCCAGCTTTGCACCACTAAAAAGCTATTACATATATTTAGTCAATTAAACCATAACTATATTTCTACATTATCTTATTCTCACTGTACAATTATTTTCCCCTTCCCTCTTCTCAAATGTTGAGGTCTAAATCACATTTTAAATTCTTTATATAAAACACTTCAAAGCGAAGAGATATCTTGTATAATACTGCTTGCTCCTTTAATATGTAATTTGTTCATTTAAAAACAAAAAAGCTGCGCTAAAAATTTAGTCAAATTAATATCAGGCAATAGCAAAATTCCTATGGTTTAATATTCTGATGCTTTTAACTAACAACCAAAGAAAAACACTTAAAAACTCTACCATACCTACCTGTTAAACTTTGAATTGCGTGTTGGTGACTCTGCTCCTCTTAAAAGGTGTCTGAAGTACTATAGCAGACAAATAAGGTATCAAAGAAAACACTGGGTTAATTGAAGTAAAGCCTACTGGGCAACAACATTGCAAAATCTGGGAAACAAGAACAGAAGTAATAGGCAAGCTGACCATAATCACACAAATTGTTCTGTGATGTTGCACTGAACTAGAACAAATTCAGTTTTTCTACTGAGATTGGCCCAGCTCTGGAATGCTAACTGAAGTGGAAAATGAAGCCATATTTTTGAGTTCTACATATGCATGACTGTTGTAAACAGCGTTATCCTAAAAAAAGACAATCTTGCTTTTAAGACTACTCTTCAAATCTTTCACACTTACCTCATCACTGTGACAGAACATTGGAGTAAAAACATTCTCAAGCAGAGAAAGTACATGCTCATAAGCTTCAAAAAGACACCGCATAGTTTGAAGTTTCACAACATCCATATATGGACCTTCAGCAACTATAAAAAAATTACAACTATGAATAGAGAGGGATATATATACAGACGTAAAAAGTTCATAGGTTTTTTTCCTGGTCTGAGCTTGTGATTACTTTGCAATGTACTAAAAGTTTTACAAATAAAAATAGAAATAAACTGACAAATCAAGGATTTGTCAGGGGATCATAATTTTTAAAACTGACGATAGTTAGCTAAATTTTTCTTCACTTTACTACAGAATGCTGCTTAAATTCCAATGTATATTATTCCTTTCAAATTCAAACTTACTTCTTTGAATTTCTTCCACTATGAAAGGGTCAAATCTAATTTTGTCAATGCTTTCATCCAAACAGTAAGTTTTGTAAATTTTCTGTACTTCCTCGTGAAGAGACATCTTTTCAGTATCTGACAGTTCTGGTCGCAAAATTCGGTCATTGAATTCCTCTGGGAAGGAAAGAAAAACCATTTCTTGATCAATTTGGTGAACAAATATCATCTTGAAGAACCCTAAAATATCAACTCATCTTCCTGCAGACAGAGCAATCTGTAAAACTTCAAAGTTAATAGAAGCACAAGGCAGCTCAAAATCTTAGGTAATAAGGTAGTTGCCTTCTTATTAACTATAATTCAGATTTGTTAATAAAATTACTAAAAATACATTGCAATTAAACCAATTTATTCCTTATCACAGCAAGCATAAATCCATTAAGTCATTCTGGCATAAAAATGAATCAGAATAATGATTTTTTTCTTCCTAAATTACCAAATTGAAAATTGTAATGCTGAACATCTCATTTTAGAAATACTTTAGTAACCACATATCAAAAAAAAAGGCAGTTGTACTTTGTATCAGTGGCCAGAATTTTTTTTCTTACAAGAATATTCTATTTTAAAGTGTGTAACTTTTATCAATAAACAGAAATACACTTAAGCCCTACAGTCCACATCAACATCAATGTTGCCAAGATTAGCACTGAAGAATTGGGACACATTAAAGTAAGTGAACACAGATTCTGAAAGGTAATCTTTTGCTAAATAATGCTGCCGACTTCTGAGACTAAATATTCACTTCAACCTACAAATGCTTAACGATAATCAAACAACTTGAGCACACGTATGCAATCTTACCTACAGTCAGGCAGAACTGCAGCACATGTACTGCCCCTTCCTGTTTCAGGAAGTTCATAAACCGAAATAAAAGGTCTTGTTGATCTCTGATCTCCTTCAGCTCCAGTTTCAGTACCTGAGTAAGTTAAAAATGCAGTCAGCCAATTTTCAAACTTTCAGAGAGTACATAAATAATGCAGGTAAAGCAAAACACTTATTCAAAACGGGAAAGGAAATAAATGTTGCTTACAGATGGTTTTTTATTTCTTGGCTCTGCAAATTTCTGAAGGAATGGAACCAGTGAAGAAGTAGGTTCAGTTGCTATCTCAGGCTGCAGAAAAAAAATTACAATTGTTAAGAAAGCTTCCTTAACAGGTGAACAAATTGCTACTCCTTTAACTTTGTCAGTACTTACTGGACTATCATCAATGAAGATCAGCAGCAAATGGTTGACAGTGTCCTGCAGGAAAACACAATATAAAATTAATATTAAAGAAACTCAACAAAATAGATGAAAATCATTTCAATACTATGTTATGCCCCAGTTTAAGCCTATGACTATATTTAATACTTTTTAAAAAGCAAAGTCTGGAAACATATGTTTGAGAATCGACCTTCAGTGGTCTCTTCAAGGTTTTACAAGTCAGGGAATTTCTGAAGAGACCTGCACAGAAACATTCTTTACCAGCGGAAGAAAGCTCTACAAAGTACTTTTACTGTGAGCACAGATCTAATGAACTAATACTTCCATAGCTACAGTACTTTCTGTTTGCAGCTAGGTGATGCCTGCAATAAGTATTGCAATTTTGCCTACTAAAATACATGCATAAACAAAATCAAAGATGGGAGTGTTCCATCTTTAGAATTAAATGTCCTTTTATTGGTAGAATTAAGGACAAAAGTATTGATTTCAATATAGCTGCAAAAAAGTTTGTTTCACTCAGACTGCTATAAAGATCTACATAACTAGAGTTCAAGTACTCCAGCCCTTGTTTAAATATAGCAACAGCAATTTGAAGATGTTTACACTAGCACAGCATTCTCCCATTTAACAGGAGTTGTAGTCCTTCATTAAAAATACATTCTTAAGAGATCACACCAATACTGTTATTTTAGTCAGTTTAGTGAGTTAAACACTCGAACCAGTTACATGAACAAACGAAACCATTGGCCACAAGATTCCTTTATCTTTTATGCAGTCAAAATGCACAGCAAGTGAATCATTCTGCATCATTTGCTTTACCCACAACATACTTAGTAGGAAAACAGTAATACTGAATAAATTAACATTATTTTTGTCCTCCAAAGTCTTACGGGATCAGCTAAGAAATCCATCGAGGGGAGGAAAACAGAACCAGGAAGAATCTCTCTTATCAGAAGAGCCAAGGATCTGGAAAGAAAAGAAAATAAAAATCCAAACCAGTATGAGATTACATAGTTTTTTAAGTGAAGTTTCCAATGCTGTTATATACTACTGGGAAATATTTTAGGATTTAATAATATTGTAAGCATGCTATTTTAAAGACAAATCAAAAAAATCATAAACAAAGGGATAAGAAGGAGGGATGAGGAGAATCACTTTGGAGTTCATTCTTTCACTTCCCAAAATTACTGTACTACATAATATGAAGATACCTTAAAAAATACAATTCTAAATAAATTCTATACCTGCACTCTGTTGACTTTGGGGGTAAAATATAAGGAAAAAGAAGTTCAGTAAGTTTTCTTAAGTAGTGAAGTTCATCTCTTCGGCTTCTCAAAGCAACATGGAGTTCTGGTCCATATTCTTCTAAAGCAGCCTGCTGCAAAAATTCTGCATTTTTTACTGAAAGTAAAAACAGTATTACAAGTAGTTTCAGCTTTTTCTTACTGTGAAACAAAAGGTAATTGCTTTCCATTTGAGCTAAAAAGTAAATAGTACATATACAACTGCCAAAGGAATAAAATGTTGAAACTTTTCGAAAGAACCTTGGCTTAGACTTTGAAGCCTGGGTATGTAAAAATAAATCCTCACACTAAAATAAGAATTCCTTCACCAAACAACTGCAGTTTGCATGGTATCCAGAATGCTTACTCATCTATAATTATCAAAGAACTCATTTTCAGCTGCTATTTCACACATCAGCCCTTAGGAAACAAGTCTCTTCCTTTAAAACACTGAAGAAAATGGCTATGTTTTCAATGCTGTACATTTAAAATACAGTTCTTTGCTGCTAAAGAAAAATGTTTCCCACTCCTTGGTAGAAATCAAAGGAAACATGAAATTTGGCGTAAACAGCACCGCCAGATTATCTAGTAGTATCTCATCATTGTTGTGCCATGAAAGGTATCCAACATAATTCATGTTATTCATTACCCACTACTCACAGGACCAATAGCATATATTTATGGATATCAAGCAGAAGTTTTGAGGGAAGGAAGAAAAGTTCATGACTCCAGTTAAAGTAAACATCTATGCTTAAAAGTTGAATGAAACCACATTTAGTAGATACAGTATTGTGGAACACAGCCAGTGAAAAAAAGGAAGATAAGAACAGCAAGTGTTTTCAAATATTCCTTCGATGTGCAGTTTTAATATAATTTTTACATTAGACTTGTAAAGATACTTTTACTTGGATAATAATTAAATATACTACTGGTCAAAGTCTCTCCATGGCTTACAAACATGAACTTAACTTTTTGAGATACTGATCAACTCCACTAAGGCAGATGTGAAATCATTCTATCTATGAGTTAGAGTTACAGTACAGTGCACAGACGTACAAATCCTTTCATCTATAACTGCTCATCTGGAATATAAAGGGAAAACTTCAAGAAGCACTGGTAAATGATCCTGAATGCTCTAAATAGACAAAAACACATTCCTGTTTACCATAAAGAGACAGAAATTAAGTATTTTCAATGTGGGGAAATAAAACTCAAAACAGAGAGTACAAATATGTACTGCAATTTTTTCCCTATCAGTCTTTGCAATCATCGGAAGAAAAATGCAAGAGGATCACTATTTTATTTTAAAAGAAGGCATGAGGATGAAAAGACGTAGCAATATAATCAATCTCAAACATGCATAAAGAAACATTCAAACTTGCCCTTTGGAACTGACAATGCATTAGGTCTTTACACTACCTTTTTGCCTGGCCTTGGCTATCACTTCAATGTGTTTCATTGCTGCCTTGAGCATCTTCTTTGTTACAACAGTTGGAATATCCACCTAAAGAACAGTTTAAAAATAAAACCAAAATTGTTCTATTTTTTTGTCAAAATTTATTACAGACAACTAGCATAATAATTATTATTATTATTACTACAGACAACAAACATAATAATTTGCTTCTATGTCCCCATTCTAAGCAAAAAACAAATCATCAAGAAACAATTAATGAATTCTCTAGATGAACTGACAGTATGCTCATTCTTCTGGGCAAAGCACGTAACAGCATGCAGAACTAAATGCCATAAATGACACTGTTAACATATTTATTGTCAACTCATTCCTATTACAATTCTTCCATTGCTATACACACAGTGTGATTTCCACATCACAGTATATGAAGCCTAGTTCTGTGTGAAGATTTGACCACCAACAAAAGCAACAAGTTAACTATGCTCTGCTTCTAGTACTTCTGTACCTTAACACTGTGCAATTGTGTCCACAAGGACTAAAAGCAAAGAGAAACCCTCCTACACAAATGCAGAAAAAATGTCACACCTCAGGTGATGGCAGAACCAAAAGATAATTTGAGTTACAGAGTTAGGATGACCATTGCTGCCAACAATGATACCATGTGATCATAAGCCAAAAAACATGTATGATTTAATCAAGGATTGTATTACGGTCCTGCATTTAAATTTTCTTTGATGGTTAAGAAAAAGAAAGGAGAATTATAGATCAAGTCAGGTACAAATGGACCTTGGGATTTCTTAGCCCTACTCCAAGCAGGCTCTGATTAGGGTGCTCAGGGCTCTATCAATCCTAGTGCTGAAAACCTCCAGGGATGAAGACAGTCACCTCCTCCAGCCCCAATCATCTTGGTGGCCCCTTGGTTGAACCTGCTCTGCTCTCTTGTAAAGAGGAGCCCAAAACTGGATCAATATCCTAGATATCATCCAAAGAGCATCAAGTAAAGCCAGATAATCACTTTCCTTGACTGACTGTCTCTGCTCCTGTTAATACAGCCCAGGATGCTGTTGGCATTGTCAGCTGCCACTGACAGCTCATATTCAGCTTACAGCCTACCATGGACACCAGGCCCTTTGCAGCAAGCAGAGCTTCTCTCAGCAGCCAGTCAGTCCCCAGCCTGTACAGCTTCAAGGGATTTTTCTTTATCCACTGCAGCAGTTTTCACAGAAACTCATCTAGAAATGGATTTACACTTTGCATGCTCTTTATTTTAAGCAAAAGACATCTCAGGGATGTAAAAACATACACTTGTAAATGTTCAAAATCTAAGACTTTTGAATAAGTTTCTTTCCTAATGGAATTTATCCCTCCTCCATACAGCATAAAAGTGCTTCTTACCAGACAAGGAAGGAGACAGTGCAATTCCAAAGGCCTCCAGAGCTGAGAGAGAAGCTGGGGTTTTATTCAATTGTACAAGGAGAATATTACATATTCCTGCACATTCCCCAGTAATATTTGAGGTGAACAGCTTTGATCTGGCCTGGCCAGCCCAGACAAGCCAGTACAATTGATTAGAACTGCCTAAAAGTAAGGTCAACCTCCTGTTTACAAGCAGGAAAGGAGGAACTTCTGCTTATCAGTGGAAAATCCCTGTCTGTTGTGCCTCACATTTCAACAGTAATTTCTATAAGTCAAGAGTCTCCTACGGAACATGGGGATAGGGCAGTGTTTACTCCTGCAGAAGTAAGTCAAAGAGCACAGCAAGCAAATTATTATTGACACTGCAGTAGACACTGAGGACGTTTGAGAAAAGCTTCAGTCAGACATGGGGCTACCTATACCACACCATACAAAGGGAAACCCTTTCCTTTCCCTTCAAAATCCATAACCAACCCAGAAATGGCCACAACAAGGAAAATCCAGATTTTAATTATTTCAGTATACACTTAAGAGCTGACTGGTCTAAGGTGCTTGTTACCTCATTCAACAACCATGCCTCAAAAAAATCCACCTAGGCAGCTTTAAACAGAAAACAAAAGCATGCGTTTCACTGAAGCAACCCATAATTTTACATCTCAATTCAGAAGTAGATTTTTTGGCAAAAAAAAAAGATATAACCTAAAAAAGAGGAAAAACAGACTGTTTTTTCTTTCACAATTCTTCCTTGATTTCAACACTTCATCTCTATTAGCTAGAACTATTGTTTACAAGCATTTAGTAATAAATCCACATCAAAGTATAGCTGCTTAGCAAAGGTATATAACTATTTTATTTTGCAACTGGTGATGAATTTCTCCTCAAATGAGGCTATAAAGAACAGTGTATCAGAGCTGAAAGGCTATATAAAACATTGCCATAACCCTTCTGAGCTAACTACTGAAGCTTTAAACTAGGAATTCTGAAATGACACAAAGTTGGTACTTTATTTGCAACTTGCCAATCAATTCTAGTTTCTACTCACAACATTTTTCGTAGTATATGCAGTACAACTGTTAATTGAAGCTGTCTGAATCTGTATGTGGGTGTGTGCATAAACAAAAACACTTATGCAGCAGGAAAAAAGCATGAGCTGAAAAATATAGCATAGCATGAGACACCACGCTCCCCTGCATAGCTAAGCATGCCAAGTTTCAATTTTGTTCCAAAACACAAAGTTTCCATGAGTATATTTTTGCTTGAGGTATCCATACCACTTCACACAAAGAGACAAAATATATTATATTATTCTGTAGAATGCATACAAATAAATTTGAACATTTGTAAAGAACAATGCATTTCTGTGATTATTTTGTAGGTCCCCGGACAGTGCTTAATACTTGCACATATCTTGAGTTTTTGTAGCGCATATACAATACCAATATACATAGTATTGAAGATATTACATTTAAATCATTACTGTCAAAGGCAGATATGGTAAATTAACACTCTATTTAAAGAAGCTGTTGCTTATCTAACACTATTAATACCTTATTATATAATTTTCTGAGTCAACAGATCCACAAACAGTGCAACTAATACAGGCATGTATTACAACTCCAAACTGAATTTTAAGACCCTGGTCCAAATTTTCACTTTGAAAGATCTACTCCACTTCCACAACTGCATACACTATCTTTGCTACACAGACATTTCCTGATCTTCTCTCATGTTCACTTCAAAAAGCAACATGCCTAAGTTAGAGTAAACAAGAAAGTCATCTGGATTTGATATATAACAATGACAAAATCAAGCTGTTAATCAATTATGACAGAGTACATGTACAACTTGTAGCTCAGGAAATATTGCTGTTACTAGGGTGGGGGAAAAAGGACACACATTTATAGAAGTGGCTCCAACAGACGGGCCAGCACTGAATAATTCTGGAAAGTCAGTTACCAATTCTTATTGCTTAGAACAGCCAGAAAGTCAGAAGCAGTTTGGGTAAAACAGAGTTGAAGTACTTTACCAGAAAAGAGAATGTATGTGCTAATAGATTAAACACAGCAAACAAAAACTTTTGTATTCAGGATGTTTTTTAAGAATTGCATTAATATAAGAACGATATCTGTTTTAATTCTTCTAGTAAGTTGTTCACCTAATGACAGTCTATTCTTTATAGACAACATAAGGACCTTATCTGCATTTTAATAAGACAAGCAAGCAGAAGCTACAAGACAGGTACACTGCTAACCATTTTCTAATCAGTCTTTTTCACTAATTTTCAAAATTGTTTTCACTTGCATTAAGTCACTAAAAGAGAGCTAAAAGATCATCACAAGGATTTAATAATGCCTTGCTCTGGTGTAACAAATATACCCATTTTCAAGAACTGGAGAATGGTTTGGGTTGCAAGGGACCTTCACAGATCACTGATTCCAACCCCCTGCCATGGTAGGGACATCTTTCACTGGAACAGATTTGTCAAACCCATGTCCAAACGGATGTCGAGCACTTCCAATGATGAATCTTCAGAGACGGTTTACAACCAGGAATGGGATAAGCTCCAGAAGGAGGGAGCAGATACCACAAAGACCTAACTTACGTGGTTAGAAGCTGTCAACAGTGTCTGTAAGACTGACTTTGAAATCACCATTTTAAAAAAATTAAAGAACTCAGTACAGATAGATGATGGAATGATGATTACTTCTGATGGAAAAACCAACATGGAAACCTTTAAGTTGCCTTACCTTGTGAATTCTCCGAACTAACACAGATGCAAAAAACCGCAGTGTGCCTCTCAGTTCATCCACTGAGGATTCATCATCAGTAATATTTCTGCAGTGTTGTAAAGCACGCCATGTAAGAAAACAGAATAAAATACATTTTTATTAATCCAACCACAAAAGATTCGGCACTAATAAAAGCAGTTTCTACATATCTAAACATATCTTTATTCAGTTGGCATAAAGGAAACCGAATTGAAATTATTTAAAGTGGTTTCTGCTTGGAAACAAAGAAGAATTTAAATAGATTTCTGGTTCGCCTTTCAGGATCATTTTGTCAAAATATCATGTGAACTTTTTATCCAGCTTGTCAGTTTCCATATGCTGCAATAATGTATGATCAGTGACAAATCATGGCAAAAATAATTCAAAGCTGATTAAGGAAGAAAAATACCTAACTTCATGACTTTTTTTGGGAAACTGAATGAAAATGAGAAATACGCTGAGTTTTAGATGCAGAAAATGCAACTAAACAGAGTGGAAAAAAAGACCAGATAACAGCATTCCACAAAATGCGAGTGAAAATCCAAAAATCTACCAGCAATTAACATGAACATTAGAGCAGTATAACAGCTATTAACAGCTGAGTAATGACACAACAAAGAAAGTCACATCCAGTTTTAACTTAATGACCGTATGCAAGAATCATCACATTTTTTGGCAATGACTGCATATGTAGTAAGTACAAATATTATCTGCATAAAAAAATCACCACAAAAAAACTAGGACATTAAAATTTTTTTAAAAATATGCCCAAAACATCATTTTACTTTATTCAGCATCCAATTTTTTAAAGCAGTGTTAGGCTGGGTTATATAGCATTCAAATACATGTTGAAGATTAACTGTTAGGTACAGATACCAGTGACCTGACAGTCAAACTATGCAACTAATTGCATGAAAAGACACCTCAAAGAAAGCAGTCTGGCATAAGAAACACAACCATCCTCCAACAGCTAATCATATGCAGATAAGAATACTGTAGGGGAAAGTCTGGTATGCTTTAAGATCAACAGTTGACATTTTAGAAGCAACATGGTTAGCACTGTCAAAGGGATTAGCACCACCAAGGGATTAGCAAACAAACTGTATTACTATATTACCAGTATTTGACAGACAACAAGATACATGAAGTAATTTGGACTAAAAAGTTGATATTTTATTGACACTTGGATAACCAGTATGTTGGCTGACTCTACTTGGACATGACTTTATGTCACGTACTCTCACAACATGCCATAGGTTTCCAAAGACTTTCTTTTAATCACCAGCAAACTAAAGACTGGTGAAAAAAACATCATGAACCTGTAAAACCTCAAATCTCTAGTGACACAGAGGAAGGTCCAAATAACTTGCTTGGAAACATTTTAAAAATTGGCTGCATTTTCCCAGAACTTTAGAAATAATTTAAAAACACAGCTGTCAGTGTAACGGAGAGATGTGCTAAAAGAAAAGGTGTCAATCTTAATTGTAAACAGCTACAGAGTTCAATGCCTCAGGAGAGATACATCCAACTCATAAATGAAAATCATATATAAATACTGAAGAGATTTTTTTTTTCTCTGTGTGCCAATTATTCTTACAAAATTTGGCTAACTCATATCAAAAAGATGTAGAAAATAAGTTGAAAGTTAGTAAAAATGTAAAGCTATGGTTTGTAACTCAACAAAAATTCTGAACTTTTCTTGCATTACTTGCATTTAAAATATAAAGAGCTCCATATATGAAAACACTAGGTTTAGTCACTATCAAATAAAAATGCTTTCATAGTAACGTGTTACAAAAATGTGGTAATTACTGAGTTCTATCCTAATCTGAAAGGAGTTGCAATAGCAGCAATGACCAAAAAATTCACTAAGCATAGAATGACTCTTTCAAACTTGACACTCTCCTATTTAAAATGAGGTTGGTATTAGCAAGATATTATGGAGTCTTACTGTATAGCATAGAGCATAAACAATAAACTCAGATCAGTGTTTTGTAGCTCTACAAACTTGGATTACTATACTCTATTCCTCTCATATAGCTGAAAAAAATTCTTAAAACAAATATTTAAATATAACCAGTATGAATACTTTGACAAATACCACACAAAAATGCACAGAGGTATAACCACCTGTTTCAGTAGACTTCACTGGATTTTAAGTACTAATTCTCACTCCCCTAAAGTGATCCAAATTTAGGAATGTTTCCCTTTAAACTCTGAGTTGGTAATAAAATATTACAAATTCTTGCACAGTTAATTAATGGAGTAAACATAAAACAGCTTTTTTCTGATATAGCACTTTATTTCCTGAGCAATAAATCTGTGATTTTATCTTGCAACATAGGCTTCTGGCAAACATTACACTTGCCAGGCTTCTGAGTGAGATGTATCCTGGTAACACTGATGCCACTGATGCCAAGAGAGTGCTAGGTCCTGCAAGACAGCACCAGTTGGCACAGCACCAAAAATACCCACCATATATATATATATTTATATTAAAAAAAAAAAGGTAGCTTCTGCACAAATTCCATTCATGTGAAAGGGGGACAATTAGCATAAGGAATTATGCCCAGACTTTTTTGGAAGGGAAAGCAGCAAACTGTTTTACCAGCTGAAAAGTATGAATTGCCTGATGGTGGTTACCCAACTGCACTGCTAAATAAGGATAGTCTGGATGCAAAGGCTTCTGATTTGGCTCTGTGAAGAATTATGCTGAGTCAGTGAGGTTTGTTAGCTCAGAAAAAAACATGTCCTGAATGCAAGAGTCCTTTGTCCTGGGTGAGCCAAGCTTTGCAAACAGTGCAGGTACTGCTAAGCAGAAAAATTCAGAACTGACATGCTCTACAAGCCAGATCTCAAACAGTGGCACACAGACACACAGTTCAGGCCTCCCTGCACAACTGTTGCTGGAAACACCGAAGCACAGAAACACCTGAACATCTAAATGAAACAGGACCAGATCTGGCATTACTACTGGTAAACTGAAACCAGTAAGCCCTTTCAGGACCAAGTTGTTTCCTCTAGAATTAGTCAGATATCACTGCACTCACTATAGCTCACTGAACTCCCAATACTTCAGGTTCATGGGAAGCTTAGTAGGTTTAATCAGCACAGTGTGATTTTATGTAGCTAGCTCAAAATCTGGGGGTGCAGCCAGGCAAAACTAAGGACAGTGCAGAAACACCTGTATGGGTCACCAGAGGGCAAGATGTAGCAGAATCTAGGAGGATTGGCTCCATATCTAGTATATTTTACACTGCACTTCTAACTGTGCAGATTACTACCCCACCAGATGATGTATTCCAGATTTCCACTGTCTTGGGTGTCAGAGAGATAAGTAATTGGTGGAAGCCAAGTCTCCTTCTCAGTCCATAACAAAGACATTGAAGACACCTTCCACCAGCCAAGAAAAAACTATTTTCAAATTATGAAATACAGAAGATGGCTGCCTCACATTTGTTACTTTATCAAACAACTCAGTTTTCAAATACAGGTTTCTGTATTTGAAAGTTTAAAACCTTGAGGTTTCCAGCTTGAAGATTCACATACACGGTGCTAAAGCTCCCTCTGCTGTTTGCATTAGCAGTGAAATTTTACACTTCGGCACATTCATCACACCAAGTTAGAAGTGAGGCATGCAGGTATTGGCCACGATCAAAAACCAAAGAGACAAATAAGTCTGCCCAGAAAATTTTAGATCCCAGAGACAGGGAAAAAAAAATGCATGGAGTAAAATAAAAGAAAGTATATATTTTTTTAGCACAAACTGAACATTTCCATCCAATGAAAAAGTCACATTCCGAATTAAGGCAAGATGTTGTTTTAACACATTAATCCCAGCATGACCAATTAGAAATATTTTAATATCTTCTTACAAAGTATTGCAAAGCATTAATTATAAAGGTGCAAGGAAAAAATCCCCCAAAATAAATATAAAATTTCCCCCAGAAAAATAATTAGCCAGTCTTTTCTTTATTCACTATTTTAAAGCTATTTACACAGTACTATTCTATTCAGCGCAACATAACCACCCAGTCTTAAAACTCAGGAAATCACCAGATGATCTCTAAAAACTTGGCCACAAGTATTCAAAATACCTTTTCTATATTGATTAGAGGTGGGATTTTTGTCTTTTTAAAAACCTTGTGAAGTACTTTATTTATTTTTTAAAGCAGTATGATAGATCAGCATGCTTCTAATCTGGAAGTAAATTTCAGAGGGGGGGAGGGTTTGAGTTTTTACAGAGATTTTAATCAATCCATACTTGCTTCCAAGTGAGAGTTATTAGAAAATGAACATATAAAAGTAAACACTATGAAAGGGTTTTTAGGATGAAATACAAATTTTAGATGCACTTCTAACATACCTGAATTGTTAAAAGATCTGTTCTACTCTGCTAAGAGACAAAGAAATGATGAAACTGTAGCACTCACAAGTATGCTTTATATTTCACTAAAGAACAGGAATGTTTATTTTCAGGTGACTATTTCTTAAAAATGTTGACAAATATTTATCATATTAAAAAATAGTAAATTTTAGGTAAAGCTCCTACCTGTACCATGGATAAATAAAGTTTTCCAGCACCAACTCAAGCACCTGTGCAGAACAAAGACAACCATGGTTCAAAATGAACAGTTTACTATAAATCACTGTTAGAAGAGTTAAAACCACAAACACCTTCCAAAACTCACAGGGTGTAATTCATACATCATAAAACTTTAACATATAAATGTGTAAGTTGCGATCTTATTGTGAAATCAACTACTTTGCATCATAATCAGTACTTTGGGCAAATAGCAACAAAAGTGATGGTTTCATCAGATATCAAGAAGAAACATTTACCACTAGTACTATCAGTAACATGAAGCACAGTGCCATGGCTGCTGTCAGGCAAATGCTATGAAACATGTAATCTTACCTCAAACAGCCCTTCCCTAATTTTTCAGATCAGTCCCTGTTCTTTTCTGATGTAGCATAGAGTGTCCCTCAGGCACAGTTACCCATCCTACACTAACACATCTCCACTCTTTTTCATCCAAACCTCTACCTTTTCCAGCTCTCTCCCACCCTCAGTGTAGGACAAGTCAATCCTGTATGCTCACTGCTCAAAGAAAGCAAAGGAAGGGTCATAAAAAGCGATTCCTATGAAAATAATCCGCTTTTCTCCATATCCTGTATCACAGCTTTTGACAAAGCCTGCCTTATGATCCAGTCATCACTTGAAGTCCTAATCAGAGCATTTTTCAAAGTCCTTGTCCTATATGCATCCTCATGGCTTCCCTCCATCCTGTTCCTAGCCCCTGTATATCCCACCTACATGGATCTCTGTAGATAAATCTTTTCCAACCTTTCCATCAAACCTGTTCAACACAGGTCAAGCCTGTGGTTGCCTTTTCCATGACAGAAAAACCTGGGTTTATCAGGAAGAATCACAATTATTGCAATCACGTCACAGGCATGCCCTGGTTCAGCTTGGCTTTCAATGTGACAGAAGAAAGGGGCAGAAGAGGTGACAGTCCCTGTTCAACCAACAGGCTGCCACCACCACATACCACTAGGTGTACTGCTCACAGCACTGCAGCTTTGACACCTCTCCTTACATCTACACACAAGTTTCAAGTACCGGTTACAGTCCTTGCACCATGATTAGTAAAATGAAAACTCTACAAGGGAAGGAAAATCATCAGACAGTGTGAAGGAAAAAAAACATGAGGAAGCAGAGGGAAGGATGAAATTTTCTTGAGATTTCCCCTCCTTCACTATAACCCCAAGATATCGCCCACACTACCTTCTCCTGTTGCAACCTACCCCTTAATCTGAATCACTGCTTTAGAGATCAGTTTGTCCCCAGCAGCAACAATGCTGATCAGGGTAGTAAAACAGAATATATGTGTTGCTATGTGAGGCTGCTGTGCCACATTCTATAGAAGGAAAGGTTCTGCAAAGCCACTGTGTACAGAGAAAAATGTAAAATCTGTTTGAAAGAAAAGCTGAATGTAACAGCTGATATACAAGTGTCATTTATGAGAATAAGTGTTACTGTTCTTACAAGATCTGCTGTTGCACTCATTCACACAGTATGCACTTCAAAAATTCAAGACTTTCTAAATTTATGCTATCTTTAGGGCACTACATGACTCTGCTTCTCTCACGATTCTAAAAGCACACTCAATAAAAAGCACACCCCAGCCTTTTTAATCACTCTCAATTCTTCAGACTTGAGCAGCTCATGAAAGAATACTCTTTTTATGTCTTCACTATTAAGAATATCACCTACTCATATTTGATAAGACACTCTCTTTTTTCCAGTTGTTCCATTTCATTGTTCCTCCCTCTTTCTAGAGAAATGGTTTCCAGCTTGGGATAACTTCAGATATCTGTGTTGTGGACCATACAAAGTCATCAATGCCCTTCGTCCTATATGCTATATTATCCTATATTATGTGCTATAGCAGTAATAGATCTTGAAACTGTAATACCATCACATGTTAATGACAGATGGCTAAGTGAAATGTTGTGTCATGTTGTCCTGTGTCATCCTCCCCCTGCCCAATCTCATATTTCCATTAAAAGCAGGGTGGAAAGGTGGGGGGAGATGACAACCTTCTTTGGAAGTTAATCTTCAGACAACAGGAAGGAGATCACATCCAGCTCCAGTCAGCAATCACAGGCCACTAGCCTTAAGAACACATTAGGCCACTCAAATGAATTTCCCTGATGCTTTCCATAGCACTGCCAGTACATCAGCCACCAATTTACTCCACACAAATCTCAGTCTCACAGGTATTGCAATAATATTTTTGTTCATGCAGAGTTTCTAACAAAATAAACCTCTTTCAGGGCTCAAAATGCAGACTCTTTAAAAAATGTACCCTACAAATGCAAAGGCCTGCAAAAAAATCCATACTATGCATGTATTTATTAAAGGAGCCCTTTTCTTTCTTCCTCCACTTTTGCTCTGTGCCTCCCCCTCAGGGGCAACAGCAGCAGAGCATCTTCTGTTTGGAGCAGAAAGTGCACTTGAACAGCCCCCAAGCACAAGACTGTACTCTAAGGGAATACGGTGCACTCATCTTGAAACAGCTTTCTTCATCCACGACCACTGCTTTGGGACTGAAAGCCTGTCCATCAAGCTTTACACGCATGTGTCATTGCAATTTCAGTGCATCAGCTTCCAACATAACTTACTGGCCCTTTCTTCCCCTGCAGTTCAGAGGCCTCTGAAGCCACTAGCAGAATTGTTTCCAACAGTGAGAGATCTCATCCTTAGTGCCAGCTATGCAAAACACACGTGGTTGAGATTCATCTTCCCATGGTTATTAAATAAGCAAGAAAAATAAAACAAGCTCATGACCCTTCCCACTCTGGACAAAGTCTCCTTGAGAGAGGAGATGTTTGTAGTAACTGAGTTCCAGTTGAACCATTATACAGACTTCTCTTCCACACCCACACTGTAAGGGCAGGCTTTATGGTACTGCTTCCACAGGACAAGGCCATGCAGATAATCCCACTAGACAAAGACCCAGAGACAGCATGCACAGAAACAGACAACTAACTCAAAATGCACTTGGAGTACACCTATCCCTGGTCATGATATCAGAAGGCAAGACACGTTCTATTAGAACTCACGCTATCTACATGGCCTTAAAAAAAACATGTGGACACACAGAAAGCAGCCCCTCTTTGCACATTTACTAAACACATGGCATGGCAGGAGCAGTTATGTATAATGCTCCATTGCACCAAGGTGCTGTACAGAAGTTAAAAGGGAGCTATGGACTGAAATCACCCTGACTGCAAAATACAAGCACTCAAGGAGTAATAAGCCACTGACTGCCACTAACTGGATTTCAAGGCATGCAGTCCATACTGTTTTCCCTTGAGCATTCCAGACTCTATCAATGTGATTCTGTAAGACAGAAAAAAAACTGTCACATTATCCACTGCACTTTCGTAAAGCATTGGGAAAGCAGGACACGTGCACCCACTTCAATTCTAGCAACACCAACGATATTATTCAAGCTCAATTACTCATACTACACCATGCCAATAAAGTAGATGGGACATCTCTAAGAATGACAGCTAATGATAAGTCATTTCCCTGTCTGTAAATTATTACTCTCAAGTTTTAAATATAAATGATGAGTCATTTCATTCAAAGTCAACCTATTTTCAAGCATTTTGCAAAATTACTGTTTCTACTTTGTGTGGGCAGCTTTGAATTGGAAAGATAGAACAAGTGTAAAAGCAAATGCAGCAGGTAACAATATAAGCAGCAGCTGCAGTAAAAAAAGAGAAATTATTTTCTAGAATGCCCTGCAACACTGCAAGCTAGTCAGTCTTTGCTGCTGAGACAAGCTTTCTGGGGACTGCCATACAACTGACCCCAGCTATCAGGAGGCAGAACTGTAGAGCAGAGTGATGACTGAGTCAGTAGCAGGTCAAAACTACCAGGCCAAATTAGAGTGGGAAGGAGCAATAAACCACAGTGACAATTATAAATCCTAAAAAGGCAGTCCAACTAGATAGCTGAGACCACTTCCTGAGAGTAGAACAGGCCATTCCCAACAAGAAAGCATGCAGCCCATTGTGCTGCTACAAGAGGTCAGGAATGGCAAAGAGCACGTTCAGACAGTAACTGATTTCTTGTCTTGCATTTGTCCATTTTTATCTTTTAGAAAAGAAAAAAAATTCTAGTCCCATAATCGAGTTAAGAACCTGACAAGCTAAGAATATAAAAAAAAATAAAAAATTGTGAAATAAAAGACAGCAGCACCTTGATCCAGTAGGGCATTTATTTCATGATGCCAATCAAGAGTAGCTGAGCAACTTTCCACAGATTTTACTACAAACATCCCTCACACAGCAACAATAAGACTGTAAGGAAAAAGATGACTTCATTAACAGAACAACAGAATTAAATTCTCCTCTATGCAATCTGCAGCACCTGGACTATATACAACATAAAACTGACCAACACAGATCATGTCCTTATTCAAAAGGAAAGAAAACATTGAAGAAACTAACAAAAGGCAAAATGGATTAGAAACTGGAAACAAAATTACACTTAGGTCATTGCATTATTTTTGTGCAGGGTACAGCCCATGCTATACAATATTGGTAGATGCATGGTTGAGACAGTTTAGAGTTCAACTGCGGAGGAGGAACATCTAAGCACAGGTTTTTCTTATTCTCCTAAACCACGTACAGCAGCTAGATAGCCTAAAGGTTGCAAAAGATTAAGAATTTGCAAAGTGTGACAAACTGCCATCAAAATTCAAAGGAGAAAAAAATCCATACTTGTGAGAAAAACCTGGATTTCTTCTGATTTGAGTGTGTACTAAATTATTCTGAAAGCACTTCAAAATACAAGCTTAAAGGTTATACAACTGGTTCAAATTAGAAACATTTGGAAATGAGAATACTGCCAAAATTCTTCAACCTGCAAAAGAAGAACTAGAAAAACTAATACATAATAAAAAAATCCCAGAATTACTCCAAGTATTTGAAGAATCTGCTTTTTAAAAGCAGGCTGCAGTGGGCACTCCTTCAGAATCTAATTAATCCTAATTCAGTTCACACCGTATCAGCTTCTCTCTAATGTATGACTAACCCACAAAAGAAAATAAGAGCAGTCTCTCCTTCCAACCTGAAGCAGGCTATCTAATTCCAGGTCAGCACTGCATACTGCATCCTTGGAGCAGACAGCCAAGAGGAATACGGTGTGGGCAGAACCCTTGCTATCCTTTTAACCAGTAGAGAAGAGCTGCAGTGAGGAACAATGCAATGAGATTTCTCATTCCAAACAGTATCTGCCATACACAGCTGATAATGGTGGCTCAGACTGCTTTTTATGCTACATTCAAGAGGATTATCCTGGTTCTCTGTCCTGGGGAAGGCACAGAACTCTGGTCTGGTACTTCCCTCTAGTTAAGCACACAAAGATAAAGGGATGAGAAACACAGCATAGATACACAAAAACCACGTCTACAGGGCTAAATAAAAAGGGCTAATAAATAAAAAGTGCTAATAAAGCAGGGCCTGGGACATACCACCTAAGTATAAAGTAACAATAAAGAAAAGTTCACTGCTTTGGTAAAGGCAGAATTACAGCAACAGCAATCAAATACAAAATGCCAAGGTGTAGCAATACATTTTAAAGATCAGTCTTAGAAGACAACTATGGTTATCTACTCATATCCTTTATGTATAAGATACTACAAAGAACCTCTTTAGTGTTAAATTTCCATTTAAGCTAAAGAGGAAAATTTCCAGTTATTCAGCATTTTACCACATCCTTTGGTACACTGTCACATCTATTTGGTACCCAAAATTCTAAAAATGTTACATGCACAGAACTGTTTATTTTATATTTCATTATTCAAGTAAGAGCCTATTGAAATGGTATTCAGCAATACTGTCATTTTAATACACTTAAACTTATTTTAAAAAAGTAATAGATTAAGTCATTTAAAAGAATAAATGGTCACTTCTGAAATGGCAGAGGAAGTCACTTCATTAAACTAAAGGAAGTCAGCAAGTTGCTATATGTTCTTTTTTAAAAGCATTCCTCAACTGTTCATCCTCCCTTCCTTCAAGGTTTTTATTCTTCTTCTATTTCTGCAGTGGTCCATCCCTGAGACTCCACCAGGCAGAGCTGAACTAAAGTGACAGCTTATAGCACAAGTACATATAGCTTTGACTTCATAAACCATGTTGTTAATTGCAAGAACTGACGTGCAAAAATCTTATTGCTTCTAGCGTGCTAATTGTTCATCCTCCTGCCACAGAACTCCAAAGCTGGAATTCTAAATAAATGGATATTAAGGGACATAAGTGCTTGTGTATTTTCCTAGCTTCAAAAAACAATTTAAGTTTATCTGTTTAGCTGCCAGTATATTCCATCAATTACTAATCAAGGGGAAAAACCCCCAAACACACGCCCAAAGAAAAACTGCTCTTCAGATAGCTTCTTTTTAAGAGATTAGAACAAAATAAAATTCCTGGTTTACAGCCTTATTAAAAATATACCTATGCTATTCTTCCTTGAGTAAATTCACTAATTTCTTTTTTTAGACAGATTTTGTTCCTGCTTTGCCTAATCATTTTGAATAAATGGACAGAATCACAGAATGGTCTGGTCTGAAAGGGACCTTAAAGATCACCTAGCTCCAACCTCTCTGTCATGGAGAGGAACACCTGCCCACTGCTACGCGAGGTTGCTAAGAGCTCCACCCATCCTGCCTTTAAACACTTCCAGGGATGGGGTATCCCCAGCTTCTGAGGGCAACCTGCTCCAGTGCCTCACCACCCCCACAGTAAAGAATTTCTTCCTAATATCTAATCTAAACCTATCCTCTTTCAGTTTGAATCCACTCCTCCTTGTCTTGTCACTACACGCTCTTGTAAACAGCCTCTTTCCACCTTTCTTTTAGTCACTCTACCTCAAATCATCATCTTCATTACAGAAATTTTGTAGCTGGAGCAAATCATCTCTTACCATCTACTCCAACAAACGAAGCAGAGCAAAATCCTCAACTTTTCAAGAATCATACATGTTCAATTATAACTGTTCTTATCAATATTCTTCTAAATTTAAACAGACATTTCTTCTATGCTCTAAGTGCACTACCACACAAGCAGTCACATCCTTGTCAACAAGCAGGCCACCTCACCTCTCTGCTCCTGGCACATATCCTTTTGATTTGACTTTCACATGAAGAAGTTAAAATACCTGGGAAGTACATTTGAGCTATCTACTGAACCAGAACTAAAAGGTCTAAAAGACATATAATAAAAACCCACAGAAGCGTAAGGTACTAAAGAAATGATGCACCAATTACCTCTGAGAGTGACGCATCAACCTTGGAAGGCACTTTCAGATCCAGCCATGGCTGATAGTTTTCCAGAAGCAATGTAGGTCTACAGGAGAGCATGGAAAAGTTTAAGCAACAATAAGTAATTGAAAGTTTCCTACCATGATGGATAAAATGCCAGCAATACTAAGCTTACCAGTGCCACAGATTTAATTTACCTGTGCCTCTTGCATTTGACCTTGCCACATACAGCACAACTGTGACCGTGGGGAAACAGCTCCGGCAATTCCAACTGCTAAGAGAAGATACTCGGACAAGTTTACATTCTTCAAAATGATAACTCTATTAATATATCAACACATTTGTGAATTTCCTTTTAGAGTATATTACTACAGAGAACTGAATAAAACAATGCTGTTCTCCCAGCGGGAAAACAAGATAACAAGGCACAGTAAGAGAAAAAACCGAACCAAACAGAAAAATTGCTTCCACTGAAACAAAGTGTGAGGAGACAGATATCCTTTCATATCTCATCTCCCCATACATTAGTCAGTCTAATAAACAGACCAGCTGGGTTTTCTGCAAAACTTGCCTTACTCATAGCCTTGAACTACTGCAACCATAACTTTTTAGCCCTATGAAATTCTATGCAAAACCATTTTAAGCTATAAAACAGCAGTTTGCTTTGGGAATGTTTTTCTCTTTGAAATGCAGCACTGGCTTGCCAAAGGCTTCTTTAGAAAACAAAAAGCCCCAGTAAAAGAGCAAACAACTACATAATTTCTCCACTGCCTGCTACTCAAATGCTCAAAATGTATTTATTTACAATTACTCAAAACGTAAAATGAGCAAAGTACTAAACAACATATATAAACACTCCCAACAACTGGTTTTGCAGCCATACCTAGATTTGATGGGGCTATGCAAAAACGTGTGAAGAATCCAAAGTCTTAATCATCACCTGTTTTCTATAAAACACCTATCAGGAGGAGGATATAAGCTGTACTGATGTATATTATTCCTGAATGCAGCTCGAATTAGACAAGAATTGCTACCCAATATAAATTCTTTAACGACTGCTTAGACATATTTACCTTGGGTTTATATTTTATTGTGAACAGAATATTGGGCAAGAGGGAATCCGGTCCTAAGGAACAGTAGAAGGTGACGACACCAGCCACGAACGACCAGAAGATCATTAAGACGTGAAGATACCTTACAAACACACAGGAAGGAAACATTACTGCACGAGGGGCAGCGCCGCGCCGGGCCCGGCTCCCCCGCCGCGCCCACCCGGTTACCGGTTGAGGAGGAGGGTGGCGGCGCCCAGCCCCAGGAGGAGGCAGCAGGAGAGCGGGTACTGCCGGCAGGTCTCCCGCACCACCTCGGCGCCCCGCAGCCGCCGCCGCAGCCGCCGCCCGGCCGCCCCCAGCCAGCCCATGGCGGCCGTGCCCGCACGGGCCGGGCAGGCGGGGCCGCTTCCGCTGCCGGCGCCCTGTGATGGCGGCGGCGTCACGGGCACACGTCAGCGCGCGCGGCCGCCCCGGCGCGGCTGTGGGGGCGGGGGGCGGCGGAGCCGCTGCCCCGCGGGCCCGGCCCCGCTCCTCTGCGGGGAGAGGGGCAGCGCAGGGGGAGCGAGCTCCCGGGTCGGATCCGCCGGAGATCTTGCCAGCAGCCCCCCGGTGGCATTTGGAGCTCTCCGTCTACCATAGCGTGCCAAGCCCTGTAAACAGGAGATCTCTGATGACGGAAAGCTTACCTAGTTATAAATACTTGGGTTCTGGACGGCAAGGGGCTCCCAGAGCCAAGCGGACAGAAACTGCTGCATCTGATTAAATGCTCTATATTTAGATGATGACTGAACTAAATCGTTCAGTGACTGAGACGCTAAAACCGTATAAACACCTCTCAAAGCTTTGTAATTGGTTGTAAAGAAAAGGAATAGGGTAGGGAATGTAACAAGATCCCACCTTAACATCAGTAGTGTACAAGGGTAAGACACTGAAAACAGAGGTCTGGAATGTAGTTTATTGCTAGTGAGAACGATTTAAAGCCGAGCCTCACATGTCTAATGCCTTCAGTTATACTGCAAGTCACAAGATTTCAAACCACTTGAGCGCCTTCCAGCAGCTCTGAAGTTACTCAGTCTTATGAAACTCAAGGCCGTGTTAATAGGACACTACTGGTTATGGGGAATACCAGTTCGATGGCCAAAATAAAATGACTTCTGGGAAGTCCTACTGATGAAAGGGCTTCTAAGTGGCAAATATGATAGATACCTGCTCAGGGAGAGGTGCCTGCTTTTGAGCTCTTCCAAAAACTTACTGTTGCCTTGTACGTTCATTTGTACTAGCCGCATGCAGGCACATTTGAGCACATTCAGTAAGCAAGAGCGCACGGAACACTTCAGTTCAGAAGAATCGTGTTTACAAATTGTCAGCGAGAACTCCAAGGATGCTGTTAAGGAAAAGATGGTATCTGGAAGGTGAGTCAATATCTAGAAATTAAAAGGTGAAAACAGCTTTCAGAATCTTTGCTCAGATGTTGTGTCAGGCAACACTTCCCTTGACCTCTCAAGCAGGTGAAATGCTGCAGTTTGACTTCAGTATGTTGACCTTTCTCAGAGAGCTTGGCAAAAACCCAGAGTCAGCTTGAATTTCTTTAAGAGCCTCTGCAAAGTATTATTTCATGTCAGTCCATGTTTTCTGTTAAAAAAAGCAAGGTGCATTCACACAGCAGATCTCCATACAGTCTATTCAGAGTAAATTAATTTTCCTAAGATGCACTTTTCTTGCCACTTGCTTATTTTATTTTCAGCTTTCCTGCTTGTGATTTTTAGTCACTTATCTTGCATGTTTTTAAAGAGAAATTATACTATTTCATGAAGACGGCACAGCATCACATAGGAATAGGAACATAGGAAGTGACCTGCACAGCAAACCAGCAGGAGCTTAGGTCAAACTTCTGCTTCCATTTGTATTCTCTACTTCAGGTTAAGTTTCTTTAATTTGTAGCTTCATCGTTGAGGATTATAATTACTCTAAAACTGCCACATTCACATTCGGCAGTAATTGTACATTATTATCTGAGAAGCTGTGGAATTTCCTTCAGTTTACAGACTTTACATCTGCTGGGCAGACGAAACCACCACCTGCTTTACACCGTTCTGCTCTGCTGGAGACAGCAGCATTAGCATTGCCCATCACACTGTCATCACGGCCCCTGGATTGTTCTGGTACACTGAAAGACACCGTTGACATCTATTTTCCAATGAAATAAAAGCGTAGATGAACAAAAGGGAAATACTGACAATACCAAGCTTTTCAAAATTCTGAGAGAAATAAGAACTTTATCCATTCTTTAGCAATAGCAAGTATTTCTCACTTCACATAAATGCTTACAAAGATTCTGTGGTCAACTGGAGAACTGCCAGGGAAAAGCGTGCATCTGGAGATGGGCCCTGAAGGAACATCGCCAGGACTGGGTTATTCTGGAAAGATAGATTTTATTTTAGCAGTTAAAATGTAAATGGATCTTTCACTGATCACACAGGTCATCGCATGGAGCCAGTTCTTCCTGTTTTGGGGTTCACAGGGGGAGGGAGGGTTAATGGCAACAGAAGCTTGTATATTCTACCATTCAAAAATATATTAGTATAGATTTTCAACAATTTAAAATATAAACCTACAGTTGTTGGCTAATATAAGTTATAAGGCTGAGATTGTATTTACCAAGGTGCTTTTATTATTTACCTTCAGAAATGCCATTTTTAAATAAAACCAGTCAGTGAACTGTAATAGACAGATTCTCACCAGCTGATTACATTTAATTTACTCTGCAAGTCTGCTTTTGCTCTTTTCAAGGCATTATATATTTATCTCTTTCAAGGATACAGTTGTCAAGGCTAACTTACAATAGCTAATCCTTCATAGTTACCCAACAAGGAATTAATTTTCCATTATAATTATTCCCCACAAGTCCCTGTTCATTTTGTGGGCCCTTTCCAGAAGTTTAAATAGAAGGCTTTATATTAACCTTTAACTTATGCTATTTAGCAGAAAACTTTAGAAAACATTCATTTTTAATATTCAGCAAATAGCTAAGCTTAAATAAAGAAGTGAAACTGAAGTTGGCCAGTCAGATTGCCCGAAAGTTAAGCACTTGGACTTGACTTCTTCAAGTTCAAAACTTAAAGGACACCCATCAACAGTAACTGGTTTCAGTGCAAGATCACTCAGGTGTATGCAACAAACCTGAGGGGAAAGCTGCTGTTCAGTAGTGCTTCTTGGCCTTTAAGGGAACACTGAAACTTTGGGGGAGAAGACAGCTGACTGTGTGATATACATTTCTGGTTTGGGTAGGTGGATAATTATTAGCACTTTGGCAAGCAAAATTAGCTTTACTGCTATAAATAGTCATATTAATTTGTTTATGTGTTAATAAACTGGAAATCATCAAGATTTATGGCATTTGGGGGGCAGCTCTCTATATCATCCATACAGACCTGTGCTTGTCAGCTGTATGGAATGTGTGTTGCCCATGGTTGTTGGTAATTGTATTTGCTTCCTGGACCACACATTGACCCTCAGTATGACAAGATTAAAGCAAACTGGGTGAGGAAGTGATAACCTGGGGCCAAAAGTATTTGCTTGATACAGCAACAGGGGGCTTTGGATTCCTGGATAAAATCTCACACAAGCTGTCTTTTAGACGAATGGGGGAGCTCATCTGCTCCAGAGCAGTAAGGAGCTAAACAGCAGGTGGGAGAGAGAAATGGTTTAAGAAAAGATGTGCGGAATACTTTTTAAAAGATCACTGCAGGGAATGAATTGCCAAGAGACCTGACACAGACTTCAATATTTTGTTGTTTGTTTAGAAACAGATTCAGCAGGCAACTGAAGCTTAAGGGAAGGGGGCTAAGAAGTTTCAGTTGTAACATGCCACTCAAAATTCATCATTCCTCTCCCCCCTTCATGAAATACAGGTCAATTAGAAAACCTGAAAATACCTACCAGGCTGCATTTAGGACTGAAACTGACTGACACCGGGCAAAATGAAGACTTGCAGGGGAATAAAAAGACAGGGAGACCGTTCTGATAAAGAAATTCAAGTAAAAGAACCCACTTCAAGTGGACAGTTTCCAGATGGTCAGTTTAGAATGCCCAACAGGAATGATGCTGAGGTAAACCACAGAGGTGCTGAGGAGCAAAGAATGTGTTAGAATTTCACTGGGACAAACAAGGTCCATTTGGGAAGAAATAAAAAAACAAAAGAAACAGGCAGTGTGCTAGAACCAGTTTTGCCTTGAAAAAATTTTAACTCTCAAGGAGAAAGTAAAAAGTGTCAGAGCAACACTAGTATGGAGACAGCTTTTTTTCATGATTTTTCTGAATAAATTCTTTCACAGACTAGAAAATTCTCCACCAATCCCCATTCAGCTTGGATATGGTAAACTGCAGACCAAGTACTAAGCTATCACTATAGTGTGGTGTATTGTCTACACCCAGTGTGTTTCTGGGATAGATTAAGGTCAAGAAACTTGGAATATCAGTCAGTCTCAATTCTGAAAAGCCCATGTATCTGGTGCCTTCCTGGACCACTGCCCAGCTTTATGCTCCCCTCTGTTTTCCTCTTCAGTTGTTTGTTAGGTCTGTAGAAGTCAAGCCACCTATGTAGTAATGACTCTCTTTCCCTGAAACCCAAGGGCAAAAAGAAAAGGACTAAAACTGAAATCATATGATCTGGAGGAACAGTCTTGGAAGTGAAGAGACATAGAGCTAGTACATTTAGTCCAAGGTGCTTTAACTCAAAGCTGCTCACCTGAGTTTCACCAAGAACTTAGAACATGCACCTATCTCCATCAGCTGCTTGTTTTGCGTTACTTTTACTGTCAGGTAAGTTCCCATTTCCCACTGAGTTTCAGAAATGCTGTTCTCACCATACTCACACCTGCAGTGAAAATGACAACTTTTCCCTACTGAAATCTGTCTATGAAAACAAATGCTTCTGTATATCTTGAGCACCGATGAAAAACATACAAAGATTTATCCTCTTTTAACTCAGGAGGTAGAGACCATGCTGGTAAACTAAAATTTCCGAGTGTATTCTACCTTACGACATTCCTTCTTCAGCCTCCTCCTAAATTCTGATCTGACACAGGCTTTTACATTTGATAGCCTTAGAATAAAATTCCTTTTGTTCATTAACAAAGTGTATTTTCTTACATTAAGACATGTAGCCTGAACTCAGGTAAACAGAACATCTTCAGACAAAGTTCAGCAACCTTCATATTGGGTCTTAAGTCTTCATCTCTTAGGGTCCCAGATGTCCGTTTCCAAGCATGTACTGTTAATTTTAAGCAGCTTAGTCTCTGAGCAAAAGATGATCACCTTCAGCGATCATACAGCTGCATGGGCTCCTTCCACCACCAGGTCTTTAATGAATTAAAGTCCTGGCCTAGTCCCAAGAGAAG